TCAAAGATTATGTCCATTTGGTTGCAGGGTCACAGAGGACGAATATCATTTTACTATGGTTTGTCCAAAATATGAAGCACTTAGACAAAAATTCGTACCAAAATATTATTTTTCACCACCAACCAAGATGAAATTCATTGCATTGCTACAGAGTACTAACTCGTATATTTTACTAAGTTTGGGTAAATATTTGTTTAAGAGTTTTCATTACAGAGAAACTGAAATGGAAGTATGATTTGAAGTACATGTATCTTGTAATTTTAAAGCGACCGTGTGTAATTTAAGTTTTGAAATGTAACAGTACTTTAGGCCGGTGGCCATATAGTGCGGAATAAAGAAATAATAATATATGCAAGTATGCTCTCCTGCAGTACGCTTCGATCTGTGCGATGGTTACACCGATTTTATTGTGCATATTTATTTTACTACTGCACTCTAAAGCCTACAAATAAAAACTGGATCGGGTTTCAATCTTAAAAACGAATATTAGACAGGTGTTCAACGCCAATAAATCACACTGTTATTGTTTATAGGCTATGATTAAGATCCTGAAGAACGCCAAGATCCCTCACGTTTTCAGTTTTCCAGATATATCAACCGATGCATATCCAGAAGTTCTAAAAATAAAAGACGATGGCTATATTGTATCTCGCTTGGAGCAGGAAATTTGTTCTCGTGAGTATTAGATTGTGCGCACACGAGTCATTGGTCAAAATACGTTCGATCGACGTGCGTGGAACTCGCGAGATCATGACGTCTCGCGACATTCTCATCGCATATCGTCGTACATAAATATCTTTATAACAAAAGTTATCTTTCGTTTTCTTTACAGGGTCAAAGACATTTGTTAAAACGTCACACTCATCTTGGTCATCGTTCGCCAGTCGGGAACGGATGGGAAAAGAAACTTTGGAATTAGAACAAGTTGTTAGTTGGATTGCACCGGGTGTGACTCTTAAATAAAAAGTTGCGGCTTACGCTTGACTTCGTAGATCATAGTAATGCAATACAAGTAAATATTGAATACGTCTATTATGTATATAATTAACAGCTGAACAATATTATTTTTATTTTTATCCGAGCAAGATGCTAAATACGGCTTTTCTAATTGTTATTTTCTAATTGTTACATTTTGGGATGTTTGACTGTCCTGTCATAGACAATAGCGTAAGTTGACATGTGCGCTGTCATCAAATTTGATCTAAACGGTTTGATCACGTGTTGACCCCGGTGTACTCATTTTATTGTTCGATTCGGTACTAAGAGATGAGTGGAATGTTTGGATACCCAGGGTTATTACAGATCATGAGTAAGCGAATAGTGGTACATTACAATAACAAGTTCATAGATGATTTAGAATTACAACTCGAGAGATGACATCATTTGCCATTCGTACTGTCAACGGAAGTGTCTATGATTGGCTTAATGTTGAGAAATCATTAGCATTTGAATGAGTGCAACTTTTTAGAGGACGAGGTTTATGTCAGAGACTTCCAAATGTACAACGTTATATGCTTTTGCTGGTAGTTGAATAAAGAGCTTGCGTTGGTTGGACGGTGGCTTTGGTCACAGCTCTACTCGTAAAAGACATTAGACTGAAACTCTCGTGTTATGTGTATTTATGGGAATGAATGAGCGTTATACCCGAAAACATATCCCCAGTATTGGCAAGATGGAGAATCCTTTCCCAAGTGTATAGTGAGACGATTTTTGACCGTCACATTATGGCCAGCTGCTAGGTACTTATTGTTCAAATATGATTCCATTAAATTACTACCTTGAGATTTGGCATTATATCACTGAATAGCATAATTATTTACTGTATATTCAACACAAAGTTTCAAAAGTGAAAGAACAGTATTTTTTTATCTTCGTAAAAATTTCTTTTTTCTCAATTATTTAAGAAGTGATCCTACATATATATATAACAATTATTTCCTGACACTTGAATTAATACAGTATTGTTCAACGCTCAACGATCATGTGAACTGAAGTTTATGCTCATAAGTCGTTGCCCGAAGTAAATGTGCTTAATACGTTTATGTTGTAATGGTGCTTAATACAAAGCAGTCGCTAAGTTGAGGAAATGCCCGGGCGGTCCGGCTAGGTTTAGAGGGAGCGACGAGGTCATGCCCTCTCTCTTTTTGACAAATCAATACTTTTCGTAGTTACAGAGCATTGTCGTGTAAATGTAATTGTGATTTTTACATTTCATTTCGTAATATAAAATATCGCGATTCGCCCACACCAGTATTTTTCAAATCTTATTTCACAATCAAAATTGTATTTTAATATACACGCAGCTTATTTATATATATTTTGTTTGCACAAAATTTAGATTGTTGTTGAGAAATTCATTGTTTTTTTCTATATAGCATATTTTATCAAAAAGCATATTCTGAGTTGCAGACTGTGTATCGACAATATTCGACCGGTATGCCTTTGTTTTATCCCAACTAGAGAAATCGTTACTTCAGAACGTATATGCAAATTAGTTTATGTAGACCAATTACAGGCACATTTGAATAATACTTTTATCAAACTTATATTTATTTATGTCACGTGATAAAGTCAAATCGCTGACTGACCCAAACCCAAAACGGACGGAACATGATTTTTTTTCCAGTTCTTACAGATATTGTTTCTCTCCATTATTAAATTAAAATCAAATAATACGTTTTATATATATTAGTTATATATGTTTGAAATGTATGGTTACGGTAGCCACAGAATAAAACATCATTTTTTTTAACATGTCGTCCTTTATAGTTAAATTTATATTTCATTTAGTTTTAGTTGTTCCTGCCTGTTTGCATTCGATTTGATACACAATTCTATAGTTCATGTCGATTCCATTGCATTGCACAGAAAAACAATATGGGTTTTTAAAAGTTAAATATCACCAATACTATTATTTTGTACACATATTTAATAACGTAAAACTATTTCTGTAACATACGAGAAAATGAAAAAGAAATAGAAGTTGCTGAACTTACAAATGGCCGCCTGACTATATCCATATTCAACATTTCTCTTGGATACTCTCAACTTGTTTGGCTCCGGGCACAACATAATTTAATTTGGACAAATTCATGGGATTTCTTTCAATGGATAAGCTTATTTATTTAAAAAAAAAAACTTCTTTGACATTACATGTTGATATTTGTTGTGAAGATATTCTGAGTTGTTTTAGATATATTATGACACTATTGCTGATGTGTCGAAAATAGTCTAGTTCAATTATGAAAAACTGGTATTTTTGACTGCTTCTCTGCATTTCTGCTTTTGCGATAACGCCTAATGTAACTAAGATCATTAAATCATTAAATCTTAATTTTGCTTTCATATTTGATGTGTAGTTTGGAACATCTATTTCGACCACTCTTTGAAAACTGTTGTTAACATAAATTCTTCGATATATAGTGTGTAGGCTCTTTATCATATCCCTCAATCAGATTTATTCATTGTGTGACATTATCTGTTTTCTATGAATATTCCAATAATTAGAGGTCAATTAAAATATTATAGTTCTTGAAATATTTTGTTCAAATTTCAATTATATTGAACGTGTTCGGGAAAAGCTAACACTCTCGCTACATATGCGCGCTATATGTATGCCTGGTCCGAGTTGTAACAACTACCTTAACAATGGGAACACTACATGGTCCCTCGATGTCACCACCCGTGTCGTGTATGTCATGTGACGCCTAAATCCAACAGTCAACACAATAGCTGTGATGCACAGCCCATATGGAAATCGTCAGCGTTGTTTTATATTCAGCAGAGCGAGCGAGCTTTGACCATTCCCCATAAAGTTGTATCATCACTTCCCATTATGTCTATCACCATGAGAACCGTTTTCAAAGGGTTACTTTTGTGTTGTGTTACTATAGCAGCATGGGAGTTATATGTATTCAGGGATTCATTATCGTCAGTTCTTGACTCAGTCAAACCAGTTGCTGCTAATGGGTATCAAGCTGGTGAGAACCGGCGCACAGTCATCGTGACTGAATCAATAGGGAATATTACCACAAACAAGTCTGGTATAAAGGATGCTCGTGACCCAAAGGGATTGGTAGTGATGTCTCGGGTTCGTGACCAGAACCCAAATGAACAGAAGTTGAATGAGACGCTGGCAAATGCCACGGACTCTGATAGGGTAAGTAAAATACGAGTCACTATCGAAAAATGCACTGTATTATCATAACAATAACGCCCTCTGGTGTCAAGGCACTTCTGTGAAGTAAATTGGTTGTATTGGGTGTCCTTAACAGTGATAATAGTTCTGTGTTGATATTCCGCCGAAATTGAATGTAATGGTTAATTCACGTAAAAACAATAAATTGACAGATTTTATAGATTTTAGGAACCGAACGAAACATTTGACGCCTCAAACGTGACAATTCAACAGTTTCGAATGTATTTCCAGTCTCTCAAACACTTGCAAAAAATATCGTTCTAATGCAACACAGCACAACTTACACAAGCTTTTCACATATTTCAGACTGTTCGACTATTTTAGAAATACAAAATAAAAAAGTTAAACATGCCAGCCTTCCAGAAAATGGTATGGTTTAGGTTAGCAATGCGATAGTCCAGACAACAGCCGGTTCATGTTTTGAAAAAGAGCAAAAATATGACAATTGAAGCCCAATGAGAACAGATATATCTGACGAATAATAAATTTATACTGACGAAAAATGAACTTAAAGTTTAAATTAAGCCAGCTAGTCAAAGGTCAAAAATCTGATAAACTTCTATCAGTAAACCGGTTTGTTGCGAGTGACGCGAGTATTGCGGGTCCTTAGCTTGGTATTTTTGTTTATAGCGATAATAGGTCACGTTGCTCGCCGGATGTCGCGTAATCCTTTGAATTATAAGCCAGTTGCCCGTATTCCCTCATTCTAAGGTCTGTCCTAGTATATACTATATATTATAATATATTCCATGTTGTCTGTTAATAGGAAAAAGGTGACACATGAAATAAAGATCGTAAATTAAAACTATCGAATGTGTCTTGATTGATTTATCGCAATAAGTGATAACAACTCTGCACGCGTAAACTAAAAGAGGAACAGGATAGACAAAGGATCGTTCAATTTAAGTCGCGACCTCCTTTTGAACTTATTTTGTTGCATTTATCATAAATATTTTACCCTATACGATATTTCGCATTATTCAAAAAGTCAGATGGTTGTTTTTCATTATACAACATAAGTTTAACGACCGTAACATAAGAATAGCTAAACATCCATGACGTCGTCATGTAATAGCAAGCCCATCGTAGCATGAACCATAGTACGTTTACGCCTTTTTAATATAATCAATCTGTGGTATATGTATACTTATAAACTGTGTTACCTAAGCAACCATTGTGAATACTAAATAAGCTTTGTAAAAGTCTTGGCGAGATAATATTCCAGGTTGATCAAATCGTGGAACGAACTCTAAGAATATGGGTCTAAACACAGTCAACTGGCAATAGTATAAATTATTAGTTTGGACTGAGTTGCCGTCACCATCAATCCACTTAATTATCAGTACATTATTCGTACTCGCCAAATGCAGCGTGACCGATCAAACAATCTGACGATTCATTGCAAAATGTAATATTCCGAGATATGCTTCTGCCATCACATGGGACAGTATAGAGTTATAAATCTTTCAGCACGAGATCCGGGCGATATTCTGCCGGGACCATCAAACACGCGGTGCTTAGTCCCGATGAATGACGTTTTATTCGACAATTAAAATACATATATCATCATCGCAAAAAGTAGCGGATATCAGTAGCATATTTGGCTCTTATATGACACAATGTGATCAACACGATGTGACATAATTGGTTCATAAAATGACACAATGTGTTCTATACGACGTGACATATTTGGCTCTTATATGACACAATGTGTTCTACATGACGTGACATATTTGGTTCTTATATGACACAATGTGTTCTACATGACGTGACATATTTGGCTCTTATATGATTCAATCTGGTTTACACGATGTGACATATTTGGCCCTTATATAACACAATGTTTTCTACACAACGTGGCATATTTGGCTCTTATATGACACATCATGATCAACACGATGTGACACATTTGACTCTTATACGACACAATGTGGTCGACACGATGTGACATATTTGGTTCTTATACGACACAGTGTGATCAACACGATGTGACATATTTGGCTCTTATACGACACAATGTGATCAACACGATGTGACAGATTTGGCTCTTATACGACACAATGTGATCCACAAGATGTGACATATTTGGCTCTTATATGACACAATGTGATCAACACGATGTTACATACTTGGCTCTTATATGACACAATGTGATCCACACGACGTTGAAGCGTTTTTCATTCGTCTCAATTCGTCCTATCCGCTTTATGTCGGCCTGCGCTCAGAAGTAAAACCCGGACAACGTACTGGGCTTTAACATAAACCATGGACTGATAATTAAAAATCCTAATTCTTCATCGTGGCTAACTATGAGTAAAATTGAACGTAAAAACAGGACAAACAAAGGTCATAGCGTCGTAGTGACGACAATCATCGCGTGAGATTTGACAAACCCGAAAATATTTGGGGGATATTTCCATGCTTAATAATCTGCTGTACACATTTGATGATGGCCAATTTCGATGAAGTATTATATAAGGGTATTCAAACGCAGTATTCCCCTGTCAAAGATCGGTCTTTCGATGTGAGTTACGAAACAAAAAAATTCAAACTCAAAATCAAATTGTTCGATTGTGGCGGCAGACGTTTGGCGTGCGTCATTCACGCATCACGCGAAATCTCGCAGTTGACGCCCTTATATTAGTGAAATTTACATTATTTATAAATACACGAATATATAACACATGCCCTAACCCTCGTACATAACACATTTGAATGCGTAGGAGGCGTGATCCCGAGCATATCGTATGATAATCCCATACATCGCATTGTAGACCACGCAATCATGAGAGCCGACTTAGCAGACGAACAATAACACAAATGATTCAGAAGCACAGCTAAAGTACTGAAGACAATTAAACATTGATGGTAAAATTCATTCAATAATCCGATAAGCAACTTGAAAAAAGATTGTTCGGAAACGAGGACTTATAAATTCACCTCTTGTTCGTGCGTCCATGTGTGCCTGTGTCCGTCCGCACTTGTGTCTCCAACATGCCTGGGACAATTTAATTCAAACTTCACACCAACACACATTGATAATAATAATAATTGACCTAATTGTAGCCGGGATATCATTCCATATTTTATGCATGTCATCGAAAACTGGCCAAAAGCTGTACGGGTATATTTTGATTGTGGAGTTGTCTGGTTTAATATGAATGATGACTAGGTTTGAAATAGTCATAAATATTATGGACAGAGTTATGGTGGATTAAGTCATGAATGAAAGTACAGATGACTAATTTGTGCATTTTATAGATATCAAGGATGTTTATTTTTTTGAATAATCGGGCCGAGTGTTGAATGAATGCTAATTTGGCCCGCCACATTAGGTGATTTTTTTGCTTGTACTAAAAACGATATAATTCCTTTTCTTTATTGAAAGTTTGTTGGCAGCACACCATAGCAGGCAATCATTTAAATGGGCGGTTATATCATGTAAATTGAGTATGCCAATATGAAATAGTCGTCAACAAAAAGGCGAAAATAAAAAAAAATAGTCGAATTGGGAATCGTAAAAGCTTCGCTTTGGTTGACAATGAGCTCTTCGGGTCGCTAAAACTGTATGTCCATCTGTTGAGGTGAACATTTGTATAATAAAACACACCGAGTATTCCTACTTTTTACAAACAAGAAAACAATTCTGTGGTTTGGCGTCCACTGAGAATTGTTAAAATGCTAATCGGTAAATACCTATCGTTCAGTGACACCAAGTACACACAATAAAGCTGTTACTCATAATAATATTAAATTGGACAGCGTTGTTTTCCAGATGACGTCCATCTATATGTTCTCTCTCATCCTCAATAATAAAATCACCACATACAAATAAATTATACAGCTAATATTTATTTATTTATACAATTTTGTTTATATTTTATATTTTTTTTGTCACTCATTTTACATACCTCTGCATGTTATTTAACTTTCATCTCGTTGACTCTCGTGATAAACACAAGTTTAATAGAACACCAAATATTTGACTGAAATAAAGTAGAACCTTATTTTAATGAGATTGTAACCCTACCTGAAAAACATACAAAATTCAACATAGTATTCCCATATGTATCCCAGTTTGCTCCACTGGTTAGCATATTTGTTCTTTATACTGAAGGTCATATTGCGACTTTGACTAAACATTTATATATTTGATTGAATAATTAATGTTTAAAATTTCTTTACTAATGTTTTTTTTTTAATTCCTCCGAGCAGATGACATCACATGTGCAGTCATCAAAGTCAGATGAAACAAACATTGAATCGAACGATCACCCAAATGATCAAAGAAATAGGGCGACCACAATACCGAAGAACAATGAAGAAATAAAAGTAAATTCAAAAGATCGATTATATCTATTCCCATTACATTACGATTACAATGGCCCAAATGTGCAATACGGTTCGTTTATGCGAGGAGTGGCGTTTGCACTGGCATATAAGAGAACGGTTGTAGAAAATTGGTTCCACACACATTGGACGTCGGGAAGAAAGCTGATGAAATATGTGAATGAAACCTTCGACTTAGGAAAGCTCAAACAATTAGTTGATGTGGCAACTGTGCATGATTTTAAACGCGATTGCAACAGTACAGTTGAAAGATTATTAATGCATCCGTATTATCGAATGGGAAGCACCAAAACGAAAAATGACTATCTGCAACGCTACGCGTTCAAGAAAGAAGGTCTTGAAAAATATTATGGAATAAAATTGCCCGATAATTCACATATTCCCGAGACTAGTGCCCAGGCGGAGGAGCTGTTGTTAAATCCACCAACGACGCGATGTTTGGGAGTATTAGATCCAAACATAGACACCCGATGGGAATTTCCTGCTCTCAGGCAACAGTATTATAAAGTAGACACCCATTTTGTATCACCGCCAATTATAAACAAAATTGCTGATGATGTGGAAAAGAAATTATGCGATGGCGATCCTTTCATGGCATTACATTGGAGAAATAGAACAGGCGAAGTGTAAGTGCGTAGTATAATAATTGCCTCTGTTCAACCAAATTATGATTCTATCCGAGAAAAATGTTTGCTACTAGATCCATATTCGTTATTTCTTCTTGTGTGAAATGTATATTTTTTCATACGCTGCCAAGGTAGATGGGTAATGACAAGAAATGAGTAATTAGTAGGTTACAAGTAATTGCATAGATAACATTGAAACATACGCGTGTTGAAGTGTGACTGTCCACTAGTAGTATTAGTATTAGGAGTTCATATATGGGAAAAGTTTGTATTTCTTGCTACCCACTTGGCATTGTACAAATACCTTGTTTACGATTATGCTTAAGATCTTTGTGATCTTGTTGTGGTTGTTCGTTTGCCAGAATAGGTTTGTCCTTATAAAGTTGCCGCAGTGTATTGTCACATTGGAATGTGCCATGATTTCATTGATAATACGATATGGGGGATCTGCATTTAATGTCTAGCGGTATTTTCTGCATCATTCTTAGTTTATCTGAATTAAAGAAAACTATCCCTAGGAACTCTTCTAGCACGGTTATTCAATCTGTTCGCTAAGTTTACGTAGTGTGTATTGAAGATCTGTAAATGTTTTGTGCAGATTATTACAGTGTTCCGGTAATGCTTAATTGTCAACTATGGATACACCCGTAATGCCAGAATGGAAGCTGAATGAGTGGAAATAACCGCCGCAATACTTTCTTTGTATAGGGTTGTTTGTAATTTTTCGTTATTTACCAATGTACCAAAGACGCTTACCTCTTTTTCGGAGTATTCCATGGTAAAATAGTGTAGTGCGTAATGGATAGTAGGATGGAACTTTTGGTGGAACTTTCCTACGCTTTATTACTTTGTGTCCATGTTATTAAAATATCATTCATGAAAATGTCATCAATCCCAGTAATGGATTGTTGTTTAACATTCTGTTTTATGGAATTATTTTATATATAGCGATTTACAAGAGAATAGGGCAAGATTCTCAAAATGCATCACTGTAACTCCATGAATGCTATTTCAAGTTACCATGGGACAATAGCTCAATGATTTAACATAACTGCTATGACCAACTTTCTCAAAAAACATGATTGGGATTCTACCTTAACTGTCATTGCTGTTTGATTTTGCCTAGATGTGGTCATCTTACGAGAGAATGTGGAAATATTCCACGAATTGCTGCTGTCAATAAAACCGCCGAGGTGGCCGCAAACGATATACTTAAATTGATGCAAGCTCGAAATTTGACATGCCTCTATGTCGCTGTGCCATTTTTCTCTGTGGTAGGTCTTCAATAATTGTATGATGGGAACCTATAGTCTTCGTAACTGATATGTTGCCATAACAAAAATATTCATAGTCCACTTGACTATAAATATTGACAGGATATTGATATAGATGAAACGCGGGTTACAAGTTTTTGTCACTCATTTATCGACTACTGTTTCATTTAAGGAGCATGTGATGGAGGCGACGTGACATCATACTATTATATATTGTGGAATTGTTTTCATCGAATACATCAAGAGAGTGTAGTTTCTCGGCAATAAATCCTGTGAAATGAGCACACAAATGACCGCTGACATCTCGTTGTGAGCGACAAAATCACATAGATCTATGGAACACTGGAAATTATCAAAGGAAGAGATCTAGAATAAAACCATATTTGTTGGACGAAAACAAGTTTCGAGGCACTCTCGCTTACAACGAGATAGTGGCGGCCATTTTCGTCAAAACCGTCACATTGCGACACGTTTTCCACTTGTTTCTACTATCGTCTCAATGCATATCTTTCCTTTTTTTATTTCCTGCAGACAATGATCACAATACTGAAAAACGCCAAGATTCCTCGAGTAAAAAGTTTTAGTGATATAACAACTCAAGATTATCCAGATATTGGACAAATAAAATACGATGGTTACATGGTATCACGTTTGGAGCAGGAAATCTGTGCCCGTACGTATCACAAGTGTGTTATCACATCTGATGCTCGGTCACTATGACTGCATGTATAATGATGTCTTCATAACATGTGCATTAACATGCTCTATATATGTCACTTATTTGCAGGGTCGTCCACATTTGTTAGAACGTCCCATTCGTCCTGGTCAGCTTTTGCGGATCGGTGGCGTGTAATTCAAGGAAAGGAAAGTCTTGGTTTAGAGACAATTGTTTCCTGGATTGCACCAGGCGTAACTCTGAAATAAATAACCGAAATGCTTTTATTTGCACTGATATTTTCATCACAGCTTTATTTATGCACAGTATGAACCTTACAAAATCAATGGAATGAAAAAAATAGTTCATGTTAAATTGTCCGTACAAGCATTCGTTTAGATAGAAATAATTTAGTTCATATGAATTTATGTGTATTTGAACTTGAAATTCTCATTGAAGATTACAATTGATGTTATCAAGATTTGACATGCCTCTATGTCGCTGTGCCATTTTTCTCTGTGGTAAGTCTTCAATACTTTCTTCACCGGGAACCTGAATACTTCATACCTGATATGTTGCCATAACGACAATGATCTTCTGTATGCCATACATTTTCTGTTCGCGCTTTTGTCCCGAAAAATGGACGTTTGGAATATTCTAACACAATAGACTTTTCACTTGGATGAGTTATCACTTGCGCGTTGTTTATGAAAAGTATATTTATGTCTCAGAATTGTTGTATTTGTCTTCATTTTGCAGCCATAATTATTGTATCTGTTTCTGAAATGTTTGAATAAATTACTGATTTTTGTCATTAGAAACACTTTCTTTCATTTAAATTGTAGCGGGCAATATATACTTTCATATAGAGAACAGTTTTTGTTCAGATATTACTAGGAAAATCTCTTCCTTTTTTTAAACAGTGCCCGTTTTGTTCTGAATAATGCATGTTTACTCGGAAATTAGCTTCCTGTGTCCCATACAGTTGCCGTTTTACTTGTTTCCTTCTTCTCAACAATAACCCATTAATAGGAATGGAGTGTTTTTAGAGTAGAGTACAATTTTCCCTTTACTATTTAAAAATGTGTTGCCTTCTTGATAAGCAACATGCTGGAATCGGCCCAACGATTCCCAGATCGACGAATAAACTCAAATGAATGAGCTAAGCAGGTGGTTTGTGGTTCAATGCAACATAGTTCACTATGAAATGTACATAAATCAGTAGGTACGAGGGGCGTTAATAAGTAATGCCCCTGACCCATTTCCCGTAGCAGGAGATTAATGAAACTTGGCACAGTTATTAGTCTTTCTTTACATAGGAACCACCCAGAGTCATGCGTTTCTCCCATCGTTTGATGCAGCGTTGGACACCGTTTTTGTAGAACACCCCAGGTTGGTCTTACAACCACGTTGTAACTTCAGAAATCAAGGCTGCATCATTTAGAAAACGCTTTCCTTTCAAAAACAACTTCATGGCTGGGAAGAGATGAAAGTCAGGGGGTGCAAGGTCAGAAGAGTAAGGGGGATAAGGGAGGATTTCATAGCCACGCGCTCGTGCTTCTGATCTGGTGACATGCGAGTTGTGGGCCTGAGCGTTGTCCTGCAGGACGAGGATAACTTTGCTGATCTTGCCCCGCCTCTTGTTTTTTATAGCTTATCTTAATTTCATCAAAAGTGAAGTGTAATAGGCTCCTGTAATTGTGGTACCCTATTCCAGGAAATCTGTCATCACTACTCCGTCCTGGTCCCAAAAGACTGTGAGCATGACCTTGCCAGCGGAGGGCTGCACCCTTGCCTTCTTTGGAGGTGAGTCCAAGTGCTTCCACTGCATTGACTGGGCTTTGGTCTCTGGATCATAGTGATGGACCCAAGTTTCATCCTGTGTAATCAGTCTTTTGAAAAACGTTGACGCATCTTCTTGGCACATCTCCAAATTCATCCTCGAGCACTCGACGCGTTCTTGCTTCTGGAAAGTTGTGGGTAACCTGACACCTCATGCATATGCAAATGGTCATGAATGATAGTTTCCACAAACCCTGTACTAATCGTGACTTTTGGGCTATTTGGGGAACAGTAATGCGTCTATCTTCTAAAATGGCTGTTTGAACTTGACGGACAGATGCCTCATCAATGGCAGAAGAGGGACGACCAGGAGCTGTTTTCACAGACTGCCGGCCATTGTTTGAATTCACGTTTTCAAGGTCATATGATGGGTCATCATCACCATAAGTTTCTTTCATTTCATCAAAAGTCTCCTTTGGTGTGCGTCCTTTCAAATACAAAAACTGGGTCACTGCGCGACACTCAACTGGCTCCAATTTCACACCTGACTCAGTTCAAACACCTGTAAATCAGAAACCACAATTAGTTCAGAGCTGTTTTTGCAACATAACCCATATAGATGTAAATGATTACACATCCAAAAATTCATCTAGATCAGACAACTGGAAGTGGGTCAGTGACATTACTTATTGAACGCCCCTCGTATTTGGCCTATAGTCTACAAAGGTTTACTAAATATTTGTGATCACATTCTTCTGTATCAAAACTTTTTTTAATTGTGTAATTGCCATAATTACATGCTTAGTAAATTCCGGAGAATGCCCCAATTACAATTATACTAATTCTTGTTTTTTTTTCCTTTTGGTCACCTTAAAAAGCGATACAATTGAACTATAAAATGAGAACAGGGCAGATTTGATGAGATACATGTTGGACACATTATGGATCCAAATTCGAAGCTTATTAAGTAAGCGGTTCTTTATATTAAATTCATTTAAAGATGGTATTTCATAGCATGATTAGAACTAATTTGCATAGCGGTTTGTTTCAATTTAAATGGCCATAAAATTCATTATAGTAATAGAGGTCTGAAATTTGTACGGATTGAAATAACTAAACAACCGTTTTTGTTTAAAATACCTAGAAAACGTGTACAGTATCATTCTATTATAATGCACGGCACTGGCATAATAATCCTAATGTATTGTACATATACGCAAACACACAATACGAGGATGCCGTACATAATATGGTCGCATATGTTTTTATTATTTCATTCAAGGTGATCCACGTCTATCGCATCATGTTACTACACAACTACTACTGAAAGGAATCAAGAAATATTTACAGTTACAATTCGACTTTGCTTTACGATTTGAATGTCGAGGTAGAAGATGCTCAAACTAAGCAAACACCAGACAAGCAATATTTAATTTTAAATATTCAAAATGACCGATAACCGACATGTGACATTTACATGTCCCAACTCATAGGACGAATACGAGTGACATGACAGCTTCAGTAAAAAAAACGCTTTTTTTTATTCTTATTTCTCAAATGAGACAAATTAAATTGAGAAAGATAAAAAGTTTGGGAATAATAAACATAATAAAAGACATTTTTGCTTTTTCTTCAATCCGCTACCCCATTTTATACGTAGTGGCCGGAACAGCAATCATCACTCACCACAATTTGAATAGTCCAATCACAATTCACCATTCATTTTCAACATAATAATAACCAGTAAGTGAAGTCACCAACAAATCAGTGGACAAATCACCAACCACTATAAATTAAACATAGCCAATCATTAGAAATTCAGTTTGTATAATTAACATATTGATATACACACAGCATTTTCAATCGGTATATTTCGACATGTGAGTACAAAATAGGTTTATTTCAAACATTTCGCGTTAACTGCTTCAGACGTAATTGTTTGGCAAGCAATGTAATGCTCGTTGTCGGCATAATATCCTGTCTCAGAATCACTGTCACTGTTCAATCCTAGCTAGCGTTGTTTCCTTGAAATTCCATGCTATAACGTTTCCACAAAAATAGTAAAACTACATTTTTTATTTCTCTCTTCATGTTAATCTGGCATAATCTTTTATCAACTGCTACTTCATTTGTGTACAGGTACAAGGAGTGTATTTGCCTTATAATCTCCTATAGTATTATCAGGGGTAAATTCTTCTCCACAGGGTTCTCCACACTTGTCAGGGGGGAATCTCGTCTCGTCTCTCTATCTCGTCCCCTTGAGGTACGGGATCGGGAAAGTCACTTTAACTTTACAGTCAAATAAGGCACACACAACGAAATACGTTTCAGCTCTCGTCTTAGTCGGTCAATCGAGCACTCTACCAGACACAGCGCCCTGGGGAAAAGTCCCCAAGACTCTCGCAAGGCTGAACCAAGACTCGCCCAAGACTGGACTGCCTCAAGGCTCGCCCCCTAGACTCTCTCGGACTCTCCAGGACTGCACTCTCTCTCTCTTCTGCGTCTATCGTGCTGTACTCGCCAAGACCAACTCAAACTCTCTTTATTCATTTTCAAAACCCTAACCAATTACAAAGCAGTAAAAAGACTCTAGGGCGTAACCTTCAATCATAAAGCCAATCACACTAAGTACTGAATACGTCATATCTTTTGATTAATCGTTCACTACATTAATAACTACGGATGTCAGAATAGCGACGGTATCTTGTAATTAGTTCCAAATCACTGAGCCAAGTTCCGTCCAAAACTTCAAATAAACCTAAACGATGACAGACATAACACAGCAATTCGCTAATAATCAGTTAATTAAGTCGGTTAACAGATACGCAAAAACAAATTCATGACAGTATAATCTCCTATAATTATTCCCAATGGCTTTATTTGCATTTATTTTATTTATGTTTTATTTATTTTTTTCAGTAGTGAATATTATTACATTTATTTGGAATTTGTGACGCAAAAAATCTCCCGGGCGAGCACATTTAATAATTGCTGCACTCTCCATTATGAGGAAGATACAAGTCAACTTATAGTCTAATTAGTAGCCATTCTTGTCTGATTCTCACACCGTTTACTTACTTTTATGAAGAAATATGGTTAAAAGTATTACTTTTTTAAATTACAAAGAATGCTCAATACTCAATATATGGGTTGTTCTCAACGCATCCTTTCACATGTTTACTATCATAGCGCAACATGTGTTGATTGTCTGTTACTTTTCAACTCCAAACTCGAAAAAAAAAATCAAATATACGTCAGTTCTGTAAAATGTCATGTAATATTGAGATCGCATTACTCTGTTTATGTTGTCGTATTATTGAACTATGTATACATAATATACGTTAGGTGATGGAATAGTCGTTTGCATAGGTGTGTGATTAGTGTCCATGAAGTTGGGAATTACCTCCAATCAATCTAGGTGATTAATATTAAGTGTTATTTGTTAAAAAAAATAGTAAAAACATTTTAACTGACACATAGCTTGATGAAATTATTTCAACTAAAAAGCTCTAACCCTAATCATTAAGAATAACTCAAAATGACTTCTCACCCTCCAACCAATGATACTATCCATTCCACATTGCCTGTTTATTCGATACCTTGCTAAAAACATAATAAATTCTTTATAAACAATGATAAGTACGTTTAGCCCCAACTTTTGCTTTCAAGGAGAGAAAGGCCTTTTTTATCGAAAACGGTCCTTCCTACATACATGTTTGAAATGTAAACAGACACTGTAATACTCGCGTTCGTTGATGTCGTTTTTGAAAATAACGGGACGATGATCGTAATAGAACTATAAGGAATTCATAAAATAATACACACAACGTGAAACTGCACTGTTTATGCATCAAGGAATTTATCACAAGGATTTTGACAACACGAATAACGGGAAAAAGTCTAAACTGTCTTTGATGCATGTACACCGGTCACAAGCTGGTGCTGTGCAGCTACATATAACATGTAGTAAAGCTAAAAGACTCAATTTTATATATACTATACAGTATATTGACCAAGGCGTGGGGTACAGCTAGATTCTACGCGGCATTCCTATAACTCGTCAGCTGATTTGGGGAATCATGTGTCACAGATCACGGTTGTACGGGCATAAAAATATAATGCAAACAAAAAAGGAAAGCAAATTTATTTTGAAATATAAACTGAATTTGTGAATATATTATATATGAAAATTAGTAATACTAATTTAAAGTCATTTTCGAATAAATGTCAAGTTTTATTTATAATATTAATTAAAACATGGATGAAGCGGCAAACACAAACATGCTAATTCCCGGCTTTTCTTGGTTGTCATATTTTTAATTACTCGTAACACAATAGCTATCTCACCTCTCCAACAAAAATAATTTAGAGGGAAAAATATTCACTGGTTTTAATTTCAGCGGGTTTGGTATTCACTAGGTTTTAAATTCTCTTGTCTGTGAAAGCAGCAATACATTATGCGACTACATTGTATATTGCCTGGTTTATAATTTAGCACATTTTCTTGTCAGTAAAAAAATAAATAAAACGCAGCGAATAAATAATACGTGTATAGTACTACGATTTGTTCGTGCGCTATGAAGACAGGAACATTGTATTGGGACTGATCGACAGCAAAGGAATCGGACTCACAGCCTCCATGGTGCCACGCCAAGGTATCAAATTGAAACGTCTTCGGACAATGACATCAACATGACACAAGGTTCACATATCATATGAATGAATGGCAATAATATTCAACGTACAATATCAAAACTGACCTCTAACCTCTGACTCTTCCGGGAAGTCGCGTGCGATAGTTGTATTATACTCAACTGTACAGTGAATTCAAGATAAATCTAACAATCTCTGTGGACAGAAAGATATTATGAGGCGTGTATTTCAAATTGGGATTCTATGTTGTCTGGTCATTGCGTTTTGGGAGATACATTCGGTTCTGCACGCCTTAGCCACTGTGCTTGTTTCAGTGAAGCCAATACGACAAAAAGCAGTCAGTACAACCCACGTTAGTACAATCAACAACAAAACAGTTGACAATAACTCCACTCATAGTACCATATCCAAGGATGTTTTTTATAATAACACAGCCAAAGACAAACAAGTCGCCATACTCAACGTCACAAAAAATAACGTAACGGCTACCACCATTCTGGAAAATCGCGTGATAGAAAAATCCAATTTGAATACGACGATAGACAACGTTTCAGTGAAGAAGTTAAACAGTTCGGTTAAAAAAACAACTCTTGTCAATGTTACACCTAAGGTAAGTACTCTCTGGATGTGTTTGTAATATTTTATTGATGGTTTAATTTGTTTTAAATAATCTCCGATTACGCAATAAGGTTAGCTAACGTCGTTGTTACGATACTGTCATTATGGTTCGATTCATATGCTACCATGATGGCAGTTAGCGCGGTTCCTAGTATTTGCATGAGGGGTAAAGGAGAGCCGTTAGTTAAACGTATGAAAGTATATATTGTCACCGGGCGTCCATTAATGAGCACAAATTGGACACATCTCGGCTACATATCTACCCCCATTCAGAACAGCGGGACTGGCACCAATAATCCGCACACAATACTTGTTGTCGAGTCACACAATACACTGAGGGCACTATATGCATGGTTGCCATAGAGATTGAGATTTCTATTACCAACGCTTCGATGAATTAAGTCGCCAAATGTCTAAAATTTTATCTGAATGTATATTTAACGATATCTAATAAAACAATCAACTATTCTCACCGTGCTGACGTATTAGCGATAGACTGGAACCTTCAGAGGGCGCTCAACGATTATTCGATGACATGTTGAGGCGCCACAGTCCCGCGTCGTCACGGTGTTCGATTACAGAGAAACTAGAAGTCGGAAATCAAGCCTTATCTTAACATATCAGCATGTAGACCATTTTTTTTTTTTTTTTTTTTTTTGGTAACTTTGGAATTTATTTCCAATCAGGAGAAACTGCAAATTTACTGCTATTGAGTATTTTCATTCGTGAAGAGGGCTTTCGACTTGGTTCTAAACAACGTATTTTACACGCGCTGCAGACATGGTCATGGGACAAATACATCACGAAGCGTCGTGATGATCATCGCATTTTATCCAGTAGAACGGTTATAATAAATCATTATTAAACATTAAATATATATCTAAATCTATAAATGCACATACAATTGCTTGTAATTGAGTCTGTCTGCGGCAATTTGGATTTTTCTCTTTGTATATTCATAGAGTATAGGATCGGGACTAGAGACTGACACCAACCCCAACCAACCATCAGGAAAACGTTATCTGTTTCCCTTGCATTGCGATAATAATGGACCGAACGTTCAGTATGGTGTATTCAGAATGGGTATTGCTTTCGCCATGTATTACAACCGCACCGTGGTAGAGAACACGTTCGGCGGACACTGGACATCGGCCCAGGCCGGAGCAGAAGTAGTTACCAGAAGGCGCTTTGTCAATGAAACATTTGATCTTCCGAAGATTCAAAAGTTAGTCGACGTTGCGACCGTGGAAGAGTATCAAAGGGAATGTAATGGTGTAATCGACAATGTACTCATGCACCCTTTTATCAAAAAGCCCAGTCTAGATGAATACAGCGCCATCTACAGTAGAAAACGAGGCTGCCTCCAAACGCGTTACGGCGTCAAGATGCCTTTCCAAATACCACAGACTCGAGAAGAAGCAGATGCTCTCATGAGTAATCCCCCAGACACTAGGTGTCTTGGGATTTTTGGACCAGGTCTAGACACAAAGTGGGAGTTTCCTGGGCAAGATAAATATTTACGAACTGTTGATCAGCATCTTCAAAACCCGCCAAACATAATGAAAATGGCCAAAGACGTCGGACAGAGAGTATGTGATGGCGACCCATATATGGCATTACATTGGAGAAATAGATCAGGAGAGACGTGAGTGCTAAAATACAGCGTCCTCCAGCGACAGATAACCGTGACGTAATTGATGGTAGAGGGCGCCGTTCACATCACTGTGGTCGTTCGTAAATGAGAAAAAAAAACTAGCCAGAGATTTGCTATATTCGAATCGTCAAACGACTACAAAACATAATATATTTGTGTACTTGAAGCACATTGCTTACGTCACGGAATCGCTTCGTCGCTAGATGACGCGCCTTATTGAATAAGTGTTTTATTTCAACGATTTTGATTTTAGGTTGTTGGGCCGGTTGCTCAGATAAATCAGCAAAATAGGTCTTATTTAAATTCAGAATGCACATTTAAATGATAATGTAAGACTGCCACAGTGGAGTGTGCCTCACTGCATAAACGCTTACACAGTTTTGCTTTAGTTGAAAGCCATAAAAACGGCCTTCTTATGTGATCTGTGATCTGTCGAAGTGCGGCTGATTTGTGTCAGGGTCAGTATCAGCATGGAGGTAGATACCTCCATGGTATCAGGCAACCGCAACAGTAAAGCCCCGTCACATAGATACGTCAGCGCCATGCTTTATCGCGTGTTAGACACAAAACAAAAGGAATTAGACTTATCTAAATTACCCACTGCTGTCATGGTGCATGTGGTCTCTAATTTCTAAACCTCATTTCCATACATGCATTTTTCTTCTCTTGCTAATACGCAAAAAGGTATAATACTAGTAGCTGGATTTTATTTTGACTGAACCACCCCTTCAGCCAGCGAAAACATTTTCCATGCAAACAAATATTTTAAAGTAGTGTTCGTCTCAACATTAGCCTCATGGTCTCAGGCAGCTATATCGGAGTAATTACTTAAACCGCGGGTCTGGGTGTATAAAAGGAAAGATGGCCGCCACTTTTCAGTACGCAAATGACATTCAAGCGTGAAACGTCTCTTCGGGGTGCTCCGCAAAATCACTCTTTTCGGCAATCTTAACGCCTGTGGTGCTTTATTTTCATGTCGTACACAAACATGAATATGTCCGCGATACAACTGTGATGTTAATTTATGAGTTCGGTGCGATGTCAGTGCGATTTCCGCGTAAAAGCGACAGAAAAGCATGATTCAAACAGTCGTTTTGACTGCTCAAACTGGCTGTCAGTCATGGGTTTATGCAAATGTAAGGTGTTAATCCCGAGTTATTTGTTCCCCGGGATTTGTTCAATCTCTAGGTATGTTTATGTAATTACGGAGTTGATCATGTAAGTGATATCGTGGAGCTAATAAGAAATGATATGCTGTGAGCTGTTTGTCCGTCCGTGTACTTGTGTTCTGTGCATTTTAAATTGTTGAATACAGTAATAATCTGGTCACGGTGTTCGGTGACGCTGTTGTTTAGGAAACGTTCGGCTGACGCAAGGTCTTCATCGCATATCACCGTTCAAATGCCCTTTTCTTATACTTCCCACGGATTAATGTAAAGATATATCCCGAGTATTGGTGTGCGCGGCATTCGCGGATTGATTCTGGCTGGAAGTGATACTTGTATCCATTTAGGTAGAACGGTTTATTCACATGACTTATTTATTTATTTATTTATTTATTTATTTATTTATTTATTTATTTATTTATTTATTTATTTATTTATTTATTTATTTATTTATTTATTTATTTATTTATTTATTTATTTATTTATTTATTTATTTATTTATTTATTTATTTATTTATTTATTTATTTATTTATTTACGAATTAATTAATTATAAATGCGATTACGTATTAACGTCATCCGCATCACACGGTTCGCGAACTCGATGTCACGTATTCCCTCGCATGCGCAAATCCGCGATGTTACCGCGAGAAGCTTTTGACCTCGATGGCATAGAACAATCTGTATGAACGCGCCTGTATGCAATGCGCCTAATCAGATTTGGTGCAGCACATGATAACACACATTGCATGTTGAATATGATTCAGCATGTTCGATGATCTACAAGGCACATACGTTCATTCCACTTGTGTGATGTCAGCTGTGTGTTTTTTGTTTTGTTTTGTCAGTTTATTGAATCATTCATAATACTTGTTTATGACGAAAAGTCGTCGAATCGTTAGTAACCAAAATAGAGGATCAATACTACGGAACGGATCAAAAAACAAGAACAAGTGGATAGCCTTCATTATATCTCACTCGATATCGGGGTTTGATGTATCGTTGACTCATTTTATGCTGATTATGAATATTCATGTCGTTTCAGATGTGGGCATGCTGCATGGGGTTGGAAGTGTGCCGATATTCCAAAAGTTGTAGCTGTGAATCTGACAGCGGAGAGCGCTGCCATAGACATTCACGAGTTGATGAAAAAGCGTAATATTTCGTGTATCTATGTAGCACTGCCATCCTTCTCTGGGGTAAGTTTGTGGGGGTTACAAATACATTATATCGCGTTATTTGGGTTTTATATGTTGCATTTGTTGAATAATCAATACATGGTAGTGAAATATTAATGACCTAAAACGTAAGCTTAAAACACTTCGAGAAACATATCAATCACATGTCATAATCGTGTTCATGTTTTACTGACAAATATATCGTACATGCAAATTACTGCCAAGATCAATCTGGTAGCGAGATAGCCCAGCTCAAATAGTGTTTAATTTTCTTCAACGAGCGCGTTAACTGTTCTACACTCCTTGGTTACATAGGAGGAATGATGGACGCAATCGACGATAGCAGAAAAAGCCGTATTGTGCTCTTGTTGTCAATAGGATCTTGGTGGCCATCCCGTCAAAGATCTATTTCACAATATTTTTTATAGTTTTATTGGTATTCCCACGCTCCCCCATAAAGCGTGTTCCATGCCCCATTACTGCAAGCCAGCTTGTGTACGTGTACATCAACACAGCACTTTAGGGAAGCGTATGGCACATTACATAATCCACCAACACATATAGTACTGCTTTTATTTCCTCACATATATTTTGGAAATGTTGATTTTTTTCATGCAGTCCATTTTAAAAATACTGAAAGATGCTAATATTGCTCGTGTGAAGAGTCTTGTTGATATCACCACCGATGAGTATCCTGACATAATGAAAATTAGCCATGATGGTTATCTAATATCTCGTTTGGAACAAGAAATATGTTCCCGTGAGTATAATGTGAATTGTCAGATTTATCAAATTTAGTGTAGTGGTATTGTGTATGAGCTGATTTGAACATTAAATTCGAAGCGAATTCAAATGTACAGCATGCAATGTATGAATTGCGCCCCCTGCTTCGAAGTAGAACACGATGCCATGCCTGTTACTGTAATTGTAATTGAGAATATACTACTGTATATTTTCAGCGAAAATTAATTCCAGCTAAAATAAAGTATTTTATGGAACCATGTTACAGTATTGACAAATTCCATTAACTGATTATGGAGAAATAATTAATGATAAGATATACTCGACACACTAAAATAACCTATAATAGCTTGTATTTCCGATTACTCATTGAACAGTACTTAACTTACAACTACATTAAACAAAACTCGTGAATATTATGAGGTTATTACGAGGATACCGAAACGTATGCACGAAGACAGTACAGCGGCGACCGGCGCGCAGCGGAGGTCGATGCAACGGCGTACTGTCTAAGAGCATACTTTGCGCTATCCTCGTAATAACTTTATTATTATACATCCTCTCTCCGAGTGATACATCATGGGAATGCCGAAATCCAAAAAGTTTAGAACAGAACCAGCGAACTTCTTTATATGGAGTCCGGTTAAACCCTGGTGGCAGCCATGTTTGTTTTTATTATTAGAGGACGCTTACGCCCGTAATCATTCCACATATGGAATTCGCATTTCCTTATATGGTAGGATGAAAATACCCTGTAAAATACGCACGCTGTAACTCATGGCGTTATGGTGACAGATGTATAATAATGTGTTATATAATGTAGACAGGACTAGTAATAGTTATTTCTTTTTTACAGGATCCAAAGTGTTTATGGCTACACTTTTCTCATCTTGGTCACGTTTTGCTTATCGTCTTCGAGATTCACTTGGACTGGAAACCCAAATATTACACAATTTCGTCAGGTGGAAGGCACCTGGTGTGAGTCTGAAACGAAAATAACACCATGTGAAATAAAAACTTGTGCGATTCAATCTTATAATACGTAATAGGTGTAATATTAATAGGTGTCATCATTTCCTATCTTAGAAAGTGATTGCACTTATTTTCTTTCTTGGACCATAATGTAATCACTTCATGTCTGAACTAAGTAGTGCAATCACTCCCTGTCTGATGTGACCGATGACGATGTAATCACTCCCTGTCTGTTGTGGTCGATGGATCACTTCTCTCTATGTGGTACGCAGTACAATAACTTCTCTCTACGAGGGGCGTTCAATAAGTAATGCCCCCGACCCATTTCCCATAGCAGGAGATTAATGAAACTTGGCACAGTTATTAGTCTTTCTCTACATAGGAACCACCCAGAGTTATGCATTTCTCCCATCGATTGATGCAGCTCTGGACACCGTTCTTGTAGAACACCCTAGTTGGTCTTCCAACCACGTCGTAACTTCGGAAATCAAGGCTGCTTCATCTGGGAAACACTTTCCTTTCAAAAACAACTTCATGGCTAGGAAGAAATGAAAATCAGAGAGTGCAAGGTCAGGAGAGTAAGGGGATGGGGAGGATTTCATAGCCACACGCCCGTGCTTCTGATCTGGCGACATGCGAGTTGTGGACCGGAGCGTTGTCCTGCAGGAGGAGAATACCTTTGCTGATCTTGCCCCGCACCTTGATTTTAATATCTTCTCTTAATTTCATCAAAAGTGAAGTGTAATAGGCTCCTGTAATTGTGGTACCCTATTCCAAGAAATCTATTATCACTACTCCGTCCTGGTTCCAGAAGACTGTGAGCATGACCTTGCCAGCGGAGGACTGCACCCTTGCCTTCTTAGGAGGTGGTGAGTCCAAGTGTTTCCACTGCATTGACTGGGCTTTGGTCTCTGGATCATAGTGATGGACCCAAGTTTCATCCTGTGTAATCAGTCTTTTGAAAAACTTTGAAGCATCTTCTTGGCACATCTCCAAATTCATCCTCGGGCACTCGACGCGTTCTTGCTTCTGGAAAGGTGTGAGCAACATGACACCTCATGCATATGCAAATGGTCATGAATGATAGTTTCCACAGACCATGTACTAATTTTGACCTCTTAGGCTAATTGGCGAACAGTAATGCGTCGATCTTCCAATATGGCTGCCTCAACTTGACGGACAGATGCCTCATCAATGGCAGAAGGGGACGACGAGGTCTGGAAGCTGTTTCCACAGACTTCCGGCCATGTTTGAATTCACGATGCCAGCGTTTTACAAGATCATATGACGGGGCATCATCACCATAAGTTTCTTTCATTTCATCAAAAGTCTCCTTTGGTGTGCGTCCTTTCAAATACAAAAACCGGATCACTGAGCAACACTCAACTCATTCGTTGAAACAAACAAAACTATCAAATACGCATGTGCAATGGTTGTTTTAGTACGTACAATGACAATCACTATGCATGCGTATTAGTGGTTTTGATCTTTCATAAAACAAATACTGCTGTGTACATGTGTCCTGCAAACTTAGCATATTCACTTTATGATAAACCATAATTCGACTATAGGTCTACAGGTACCGAACAATATTATAAAATATATTGCCAAAAATATGATTAGACAAGTCCGCCACTACTTCTCGGCTACCACCTCTGCCAAACAGTCACAGGGCAAAAATGAATATGCCTTACACACGTAAAAATGTTGTTACTTGAATACATGCAAGATCTGCTTGGTATGTGGTATATGAGTTCGTATCTCGTTGACAAAAAGTTTGAATAACATTTGTCGTTGATTTTAAAGCGAGGGGGTCGTCACCTGCGCAAGCGCGGGAATTGAGTCCCAAGCGACGATAACAACACAGGCTAAAACGCAAAGGCTCATGGGTAGACGCTTGTTTGTAAACAATCACACGCTATGCCCACCTGACGCATGCGTAGGTGACTCCCGCTTTAACATCAGATATTTAGATATTGTTAATAAGTTTTGTGTTGACAGTCAAGGACTAGTTCAAGCTACATGTGCTAAATTACTTTTGTTTATATACACTCTGTGTAATCTTCACTTCAAAGGTATAATAAATTTATTTGCATATTTGTCAGTCAAGCTGTTTTGTTTGCACTGCACTATTAGGCAGAATTTAACTTTTGGTTAAATTTAACTGTCTTTTTAAATATTTGATTAGCGCGAATTTCTTTGTACAAAAGACGATTTTTAAATTGTTTCTTGCTTGGGACACAACATTTGGCGGCATTGTTCGAAAAGTTGCAGTTTGAGTTTCACCGTCTTTCCTACAGACTACATTGCAATACTATCTCGGTGATTTCTTTTAAATTTGCACATTCAAAACGGGATATATTTTCTCAATGCGAATGCACTGAGAAGCATTTTTGAATTAGTTTAAATAATCTAGGTATTTAGGTAATTCACTATGATTTAGTGAACCTCAAAATAACAATCGATCATAACAAACCTAGAAATCTTCTTCCAATGTGCAACTTTTTACACAGGTTGTAGTTTAGCTTTTACTATATAAAAATTGGTGCGTGTATAATAGCTAGCTCAATCGGGAAACCGCAACGCTAAACAAGCTTAACATATTTTTAATTTAAGTTCTCAGATAATGTTATTCGTATCTTTCTCTGATCATCTAACGCTTGGATAGCCAAGTGTATTCGTTTATTTGTTTTATATAATATTTGATAAACTCATAAGATCGATCGAAATTTAGTAATTATATTCAAATGATGTATCAAGCTGAACTTGAAATGAGAAGTCTACGCGTGACTGAAATATACGCGTTCACTACACGTGTATTTAATTTCCATGACAGTTCATGGTATAATTAAAAGACTCCGCACTGCCCATATAGCGTGATAACAATGCTCGGACAGAGATACTGACTTAAATATAATTATTGCGTGCATTCCCTTCCTTGCTTAAATTGATATTTAAACAATAATTAATTCGATCATTCACAGCGCCATCTTGGATGAGTTAGTTAGTTATGCCTATCATCCCTCTTGGGACATAGGCCACCAACAAGATTCCTCCAACCAGGCCGGTCCTGTGCCAGTTTTTCCGCTTCTTCCCAGGTATAGCCCAGCTTCCGGACATCATCCTCTAGGTTCCGTTGCTAGGTGTTTTTTTTTTTGGAAGGTCCCGTTTTCTTTTTTTACCTGTGGGTTCCATGTCAGTGCTGCCCTTGCGATGTTTTGAATTGGTTTTCGTAGGGTATGTCCCAGCCAACGTCAACGTCTTTGAAATATGGGCTGTTGACTCATTCTTTCCCACAACTCCTGGTTGCTGATCAATCATATCTGGATACCGTATTTTCAGTATTCTTCCTATGAAAACATTTATGAACATCTGGATCTTTCTAGAAAGTGTTTTACGGTGGTTCGCCATGTTTCAGCCCCATACAGCAGTACCGGTTTAACAATAGACCATTTTCCGTTCACTGCGAGAATCACGCATTATGCGTGAAATCGAACGTAAAAACAGGACAAACAAAGGTCATAGCGTCGTAGTGGCGTCAACATCGCGTGGGATTCGGGGACATTTCCATGCTTAATGATGTGCTGTCCACATTTGATGGTAGGCAATTTCGATTAAGTAAGGGTATTCGGAAGCAATATTCCTCTGTCGAAGATCGGCCGGTCAATGTAAGCTACGAAATAAAGAAATTCTAGTTCAAAATCAAATCGTTCGATTTTTGCGGCAGACGTTCGACGCGCGTCTTTCATGCATCTCGCGAGATCTCGCAATTGTACGGAAAATCACCTATTGTGTTGAAAATCCTTATCTTGGATGAGGGGAATGTGAAAATAATGTATGAGAGGAAGCCGAATATCCTACTGCATCTAATCCCTTCTCTGAATTTTATTTTAGTTAGCACAATGGGCAGCGTGTCTGTCAGACTGCCGTTATGTGAGCCAGAGTTCGAACAGTAACACAGTAAAACTTTATCATTGTTTCATCGTACATATCAGTGATCTACATTCAAATCTCAGAAGTTCATGAGAACAAGGTCGTATGCACATAGAACACTTTATAAGAACATAGAAATTTGACTTGAAACATGATATTTAATGTAGATTGGTCTATATAGACACTAAGTGGTTTTCAATTGTTATAAATCTGCACCAAGACATCTAGAATTATGCAAATTTCGTTAAATAAGAGATCTTTTATTGAAATGATTTTTCGAATAGAGGTTTACGGTATATTATCGTGTAATAAGATAAAGCTATGACGTCATGAAAACCTCCAATTCTGACAGTGGTGATTTATAACTCACAATAATGGGCAGTGAAATACGAAAAAAGTGACCGAGGTTGAAATCAGAAGACCGTGCCTTTGTAATAGGAAACAACTCAAAGGTCGGCATTTTATGAAGACTGTGCATAATTACCCCTGTAGTGAATTCTACGGTCTTTCTGACACTGGGGTGTAGCGAACTAAAATTAACGGTCACGGTAGCGATAATAACGACGTCAGTCTCTAAATAAATAGTTATGAACTTGTGATAGCGTATATCTTTAGGATATGCTCGCAGAGCACGTCCATTCCACCAGCGATGTTTACAGGCCTGTACGTGGGATTGCCCTGCCGCCTGCAAGGTGTAGCAGATGTACGACCTTTACCACGCGATCTGACACATTGTCATAGCGACCAAGATAAAGATCATTAAGGTCCCACGCCTACCCAAACCGAAATAGAGATCTGTGTAAAAATAATTAAATCGATTTATAAACATATTCAGTTATATTAAAATATATATATTACATTAATATATTATGTTAAAAATAACTGAATGTACAGTATAAAATCGGTTTCTGTTTATCCGTGTGCATTTCTGTCATATGTGCGCATGTTCTGTTACAGCTGCTTCCCTCAAAATAATAAACTGTAATTCCTCAACCCAATATCAACGTAATTCGTTTGTAATAACAAAACTACTATTATAACGACACATGATCGACACAATTAGAATTTGCGGTATATCCCAATTTACTTTTGTACGTATAATATGTTAATCATTTGTTATGCTAATTATTGGGTTCTTCCTGTCACGTGAACACGGGACGTGCTATTCAACAGTACTATATTTGTGTTAACACAATACACGTCGAAATACACGCGTATCAGAGCTCGGCAACATGCTCGGTTCGTGGGCAAACTGCAAATGTTCAGAATTATTGTTGCCGTTAACTTGATCTTTGTAAGCAATGTCAGTTATGGGATATTCAGTTGGATAATGCTAGTATATGTGTTTGCAGTAATTGTTTTGGTATGGCATAAACTAGAGCCATAACGTGTTTAATATATTTTAAAAACTGAAATCACAAAAAAAAAAACGTTTTGAATCAATGAGAATAAATGTGTATTAATGAGTTAGTTCAATAGTGAAATTGCGTCGCGACCAACGTGATAGTCGTATTCTAATATAAATTGTCTTAACAAAAACATACCTGTTGATACACCGCTCGTGCCTTTTAATGCACGTTGTGTTTATTTAAATACACATACAAAATATGTAATTTAGTTGCCATCAGTATTGACGAGAGTTAGTATATTTTGTTAAAACTAAATTTAGTTGCTGCTGCTGGCTTAAATATAAACGATGTTGATGTTGATGCAGACTGCCGCTAACAGCTAGTGTGATTATTGGAGCGAATAATTTGCGGATTGTATTATATTAGTTACCGAACAGAATCGCTGAGCAATGACACGGGTTCTACAGCTAACACTCCTGTTTTTTGTGTGTTTCTCAATACTTGAGATACGTGTTGTCATGGATATACTGCAGCCGTTTCTGAGTTATTTTGCATTGAAACCGGCGTATAGCATTACTAATTACCAAAACAACGAAGGCAACAGACAGACGAACATTAGCGGTGCCACCATCCGTGGCACAACAAACGATCTGTCAAATACAGCAGCCCACGCCAATATGACCGGTGCCAACGTGGGTGAGAGAGATTGGCATTTGGTTTATGTTAATAGAACGGAGAAGGACAATGGAAAGCACAACGAGTCCAACCAAGACTCGGTATCCAGATCGTCAAAATACGAAGACATTTCTCAGGTGAGAACACGTAATAACGCAGTGGGATAACCTGACGCAAGGCTACCCATATAATCTCAGTTTCCTCAACACATTGCCGTCCAAATAACGATGAGTATATCATCCTATCTAGGACTATTTATAGGGAACACGTGGGCTATTGAAAGTGTGTCTGGTAGCAAAGCTATAAACCTTTCCTTGTTCTGTATGGAACCAGTTGAGCGACGCTATAAATCGAGTCGTAAACTCGGTATCGTTCGTAACCAGTCTTGGGATTGGTTCTTGACAAATTCTGAACAGGCCACGCCTCCAACTGTGCCGTGCGTTTGGGCAAACCGTTAATTATTCATAAATGGAGTATATTTGTGTAGTTTTCCTGATTTATTCTGCAGTAATCGGTAAAATATAGGCAAGGCTTTGGCGAAATTTGAAAGAGCAACTAATATTCTTCAACCTGGTATTTTTTATAGATTTTATTTTTCATTCAGTTCGTCTGCTTTTTCCAGTTTAAAAATATGATCTCGCCGGAGCCTTCATCCCTTGTCTATTTCTTACACAATATATCAGCCGAACCCCCCCCCCCTCCGCTCATAGGGACTGCGTACAGTTGATTATAGTTCCTGGGCTCCCTGTGGTTTTGCAGCCATTTTGAATATTGTCGTGGTGATTATAATTGCTATTTACGAACACATACCTTCGGATTGATTAATTATCCGAGTCATTTAGTACAATGCATAGTTTGTTCTGTAATCCATCTATAATCTGTATACCGGAGTATGTTGCTTGCAACAAATTAAATTATTAAATTTGCATATTAATAACTTGCTATGACTATGACCATTTTCGCATAATGATCAACTTATGATTAAATTCGGGATAGCCCAAAGATCTAGATGCGTACTCAAATACGCTTTCAGTGTTTCGAATTCGAAGATAAACTCTGAGTCTTTGACGAAATATCAAAGTCACATGACCTATATAAATACCCCGGGATGTGCACATCATAGATGTTAATAAAACAGATCTAGATACAAACCCGGGAACTTGACTTGATTTGCAAGTCATAGTCTAAAACCAGGCATTTACTGTTGTTAAAGCCTGAAAATGAAGCATACTGATTGGCTGAGAAGTTTTGGACAGGTTTTAATTAATGTTTGTCAACTATCCATACACAAAAGAGCGATTAGTTCGAGAAGAATTTGAAATGCGGGTATGGATATGAACAGCATAAGCAATAAGTGATCACATACACTTAATATAAAAGTTCGGACATTTCGGACAATAGGTTATTGTACAACTCATCCTTGTCTTCCATTACACTCACGGAAAAAAATAATTTAACAAATTGGAACGTAGAAGGACAAACGGTCCATTTTCTGACGGCGATGAAGTGTATATATTTACCACGCTTCTCAAATACAAGTTTTATATTTCAAAACATCCACAAACTTGATTTCAATCAAAATAGTAGTGTATTAATGTTTTTGAAAATATGGTGACAATTAAGAACACTGTAAACACAACAAAAAACATATCACTTAACGTTTTACGGTGATACATGTTTCATTAAAGTGAATATCGAACTAATAACTCGTTTGTAAACATTACGGTATATATGCAATTTGTCGAACTAGCCGACCCTCGAAGGTGACGTCATTAAATGCATAATCTGACATGACATCGCATCACTTTATTCAGAATATAATTTTATGTTTTTTGATTTTACCAAATTCAAATATTTAATCAGTCAACAGCATATCAATACCATCCCATCTACCAAATTATTTAATTTATGTACTACTCTCAACCTGGTAATGTTTCAACCTAAAAAATGCCATATACCTGTCATAAATTCAGGGACAGTAGCAACATTTACGGTGTTGTTATCAATAGTAAACTGAAATACACATTTCTAGACAGGTGTCCATTTCCCATGACCAAACCAATGGGCTCGTCGTCTTCATAGCTCTTATTTATTAGTAAAGCCTTGGTGTTGAATTGTCTCGGTGTTCAGCGACACACCTGTGTAAATTTGCGTATAATGTAAACGAGCTCTTTTAATGATCTAATGATACAAAAACATTTAATTATTATTTATAAATGCCCGAAATACAATCACGGCCTAACAGTGACTAATTAAAAAATGCACAAACCGAATTATAATATTGTCTCGACACATAATACTTGTATGTTCAATAAATGGTGTTCGCGGTTTCTATTAACTATTAACTGTTAACTCTGTAGGTACGTGGTACTTCACCCAAGGCTAAACACACTCAGAGATATTACATTTTTCCATTACGTTTTGATTATAATGGCCCTAATGTATACTACAGTACTTTCCGTAGAGGCGTGTTCTTCGCGCTTTATTATAACCGAACTGTGGTAGAAAACTGGTTCAGAACTCACTGGTCATCGCCGGCAGCCAGGTCAACACGGTTTTTGAATGAAACGTTTGACATAGAGAAGCTAAATGAAATAGTCGACGTGGCAACGGTAGCAGAATTCAAAAGAGATTGCAACAGTACCATTGACGTTTTATTGATGCATCCTTTCATACGAACAAACCTGGAACTGTTTGTCAGTAAATATGCAAAGGTGAAAGAGAAACTAGAAAAAAGATACAAGATTATTTTGCCAGATTTCTCGGCGATTCCTCAAAGTAAACAATCAGCAAATGCATTATTTACAAACCCGCCTAAGACGCGATGTTTGGGATTTCTAAGTACGAGATGGGAACCACCTCGAGTACTCAAGCTATTCAGGAAGGTTGATAGTCATCTTGAAAGACCTGCTCTTATTAAGAAAATTGCTGATGATGTAGAAAAGAAAATTTGTGATGGTGATCCATTTGTGGCACTGCATTGGAGAAATAGATCAGGGGAAATGTAAGTTTTTAATTAATTCAATGTTACAGGATGTCAGTGAATATATAAACTCGGTTCGGTCTTTAATGTACGCATGTCAGCCAATCACAAACGATCTTTTATCTATCATGAAAATGGTGGTTTGCTACTTATTACCTCGAAGCTCGAAATGGTTATCAATTACATGAGGATATGAGGATGAGAATATCTAAACGACAAAGCAAACAAAAAACCTCGACTATTGGGAATTGAACACATGGCGGCGTGGAAGAAAATGTAAAGCGTTGAGAAGTATTTTTCATGTTTTACTTTAAATTTGTATGCGACGCTGTGTACAAATTGATAAAAAAAAATATTATTTAAAGTTTGATTTCTCGCGCAATAAAGAAGATTTACATGAAACCCACGCAGAAGTAACCAAAAATACGTAAAAATTCAAATTCGGCTGAAACTAGGTATCACGTACATGTAATGAAATGCAATTACTGAGACATAGAATCGAAAGTGATGCAAGCTTGCAAGCAGAAGAAACTTGTACATTTTTGTAATTACACTGTACTTTTATTGTATACTATATATTTAGTTTATATTACTATAATTATTTAAGTAAGTCAACTAGGAGACCATGCCACCACAATTTGCCAGAACAATGCAACACATATACTTTGGCAGGAATCGTATTAGGATTATGATATTATTACATACATCACTGCTACAATTATTTACACATATTCAACTGCATGGCTCATCTTCGTTCAGTTATTATATTATATGTGGACATCTGACTTGTTGCACCACTGCATCACTACATACAGTGTGGTATGGGTGTTAAATTCCTGTTCGTAGCTGGATATGTTACGCCAATTTTACATTCCACCAGTCAATTCTTAACATAAATCGGAACCATCTGTTTCCGTAGGAATACAGACACCCCTTATATAATTAAAACCTACCACTTCATGATTACCCCATTGTTTTTGTTTTTATTGTCATGATTTAAATGTGATTGATTTAATTATTCAAATATGAAAAAGAAACTTATCCCAATTTTACCATCCATAGTAGATGTGTGTTTTTTTCACTATGTGTTGTTAAGTAACACAATGCAAAAAGGATGACACCAGCAATTGTTTGTTTTGAAGATGCAAGGTTTAAATTTCGGGTCGTGTTGTAATTGAACAAACGTGTTTCTAGTTGACGAGGAAAAGTTCTAAACAAATAAACAAGGCAACAGTTTAATTCTTGAGAAAACTACATAAAAGTACTCATAGGCATGACCCGGTTTTTTTTTTAAACGCGCTGAATGCATTGAAAATAGTAAAAGAAATTATAATACTTAAGTAACAAATTACACACGGTAAATAATGGAATTCGATCAGGAGCAGTTTCTTTCCCTTTGAAATATCATTCGAACCAATTATAGTTATTACCACTTTGCTTCACAGAGTCCTTCTTAAGTATAACCTATCATCACAATATAATAAACCTGAAACTCTCTAGTGTTTCTTTTGCGGACCATCTAATTCAAATTCACTTAGTTCAAAACTCGGAATGTAGCTGCGTACAAAATACTTAAAACAGGGGAGTCGTCACCTGCGCATGCATCAGATGGCCATATCGTGTCATTGTTTACAAACAACGTGGTTGTTATCTTCGCTTGGGACTCAACTCCCGCGCGTGCGCAGGTGACGACCCTCCCGCTTTAATAATCTAAAAAAAATCAAAAATAAACGTCGTGTTACAGAACATCTTATATACTTTTATGTTCATCGTAGTACATAGTTTATGTAAATAATATACAAACGTAAGTTTGTTTTTTTCTAGATGTGGACGTGATAATAAACCCTGTGACAACATAGACAGAATAGATGCTGTCAATCTCACGGCACAAAGTCTGGCCATAGATATACGCAATTTTATGGAAAACCGTAGTATTAGTTGTATTTATGTAGCAATGCCGCCATTTGCTCGGGTAAGATAGAAATCTTCAAAGTTCCCTTCCAACAATCTATCAATCAGTTTTTCTTCAGTCAGAATCATATAAATTCCATCCGTTTTTACATAATGGTGTTGTCATCCATCAACTTTCTGGCATTTATGTGGCCAAACCAGTCTGTTGGGCGGAATATGTATCACTTGACCGCTATCAAATATCATCTGCGTATTTTGTGAAGACTAATAAATACATATGATTATTTCTGAAAGTTTCAGGTATAAACCAATAAATAGTCGCGCATCGTCATATATACAGGCTCAAACTATGGATAACAACATATGTCAACATTATACTGTTCCTAATGACCATGATTACTGATCTATCTGTATTGATTGTCGCAAAAATCAGCTTGATTATATATTGACGTCACTAGATTACAAATCAATTGAAGCTACCAGCAATTGATTGTTGTTGTTTTTCAGAGGATGGTGGCCATTTTGAGAAAGGCCGGTATTTCAAGAGTGAAAACCCTATCTGACATTTCAGACAAGAATTATCCAGACATAGTCAAGGTCCATGATGATGGATATATGGTTTCTATCTTGGAGCAAGAAATTTGTTCTAGTAAGTGATTAACATATTATGTCGGTGACGTTATGACAGTGCAATCAGTTATAGGGTCACTAAATGTGACTTATACATAGGCTTGAATGAAGTATGTTGAAAACTAACTGAGAAAGTATTATTATAATATGTGAGGAGTATTATTTTAACGTTTATATGTTATTTATTCACAGGAGCTAAGGTGTTCCTGGCAACACAACACTCGTCTTGGTCTGTGTCTGCTGTTCGTTATGGAATTCATACTGACCAAGAGGTTATACAATTAGAGGAATTTGTCACATGGAAGGCAGATGGCGTGTCGCTTAAATGAACGCATTAAATGCTAAAAATAAAGGACAGATTAGCATTTGCTGAATCTCTTCTCGGGCGTAAATTTCTAATTTGGTTCGTTGGGAAAAACATAAACAATTTGACTCCGTCAGTGAAAACAGTATTTAAAGAGATTGAGAAGATTTCCACGACTCGTGTCATGTGAAGGCGGTAATCGACCAATGATGGGAAGACAGTGTATATTGATATGCGTATATGGCTCACCTAAAATTGTACCAAAGATATCAATTAATGTAGTTCAAAACGGCGACTGCCTTTGTTATGCATCCGTCCAGAATGCGGTAAATTTCATTGGTTGGTGATACACGAATAATTATCGACATTGTGGTCGGCCATCTTGTCATCTATTTACGTCACAAAAGTGTTTTGTCGTTAGAGGCACTAGGTTTTGTCAATGTCACGGTCACATACATGTCTGCTAAAAATCATGAATTTTAAACGTTATATAATTTGTTTTGACGCGTACTTTGAGTTATAAATAAATATGTTATTTTCCATGACACAATATTGGGTATATTCATTTTTTGCTAATTGGTTCTATTTCCTAATAATTCGTGTGAGGTTACACACATATCAAACGTGATATCCACAGCTAGCGAGCAGATGATAATAATAATAATAATATAAATGCGATTATTTACTATACGCGGACAGCCATTTTGAATACGTCTTAAAATATAAATAAAGAGACAAGTTGAAAAACTACAAATCCGTTTCCTACAAATCTGGGGTAAAAATAACAAAATTTTCGTTAAGCCATCCGCTAATAAAATTCAACCGTGCTTGTCGTTTGTGTGTGAAAACCCCTTTGCATAGGAAGACACGAAGAACCTCGAACACTTTCCCGGTTTTTGTGAAACGTGAGGAGTCAATCAGCGATTACGGATTACTTTAACTGAAATTAGCTTTGATTTAACATAATCTTCCTCTCAGAGAGACAAGTGGACTTATTTCCCCCCCCCCCAAATAAACATTAACGTCCGCCGTCGTGTGTACCACATCGAACGCGTGATATTTACCCGGGGACACTGCGTACAAATTACCTATTGGGGCGTGCCATTGAAATGAGTTATTTTTCATGATTGTCGTGTTATAAATATGATTCCTATTTCCTGTCCAAAAAGGTATAACTTCAGGGTATAAATATCAGTAATAATATTTGCTTATCATTTATCTATATGCAAGACCTAAATTCCCGCCCGAATTCGTTTAAATGACGTTATTTTTTTCCTATTACTTCCAGCGACGTCATTCATGTAGCCCAGACAGAAATATACGATAACATAGAGGGCGCAACTCCATTAATGACTAAAACAATATCGCAGCAGTTGTGTTATATTGAAACAATATAATATTGAATGTTTAAGACCCTTTTTTTGTTCGAATGACTATTTCAATCAGTGACTATTTTAGTCTGTTATATTTTGAACTACAGTATAACGTAAAAACACATCTTAAAAATTGCTGTCAATAATAAATATTAAAAGTTTCCAAAATAACAGTGTCACGATTACGCCTATTGTATGCAAAGATCATATAGCAATCCCATCCAATATATTTTTCATAATTGAAACCCCGCTGTTATACAGAAATGGATTAGATATCACGTGACCATACCGGATAACGGAAATATTGTCTATACTAGCTGTGGTTCATAACTCGGACCATATTTTAACTAAATATTTGAGGTAAGTTGTCTTGGTATTTAAAATAACGTATCTGATCTATCCGTCTGACTTTATTCAGTCAATACACTTTCTATAAACACCAGGTTCGCCTTGTACTACGTTCATCGAAGACTTTGCATTTCAGTTCGGAACCGTAATTCAATCATCCGACATCCCGACTTCGTGATCTGTCTGTCATAGTACTCATATAGATAACATTTTCCATAACGAAATGCCGAGTTTTTGACTTCCCGCTTGCTTGACTCCGAACATGTTACAGACGTTGTATGTAGATATCCGGGCATTGAAAGTTTACGAAATGCCGTCGTAAATTTTGAAGAAAAAAACATATATTTTAATTACACGCACATAAAGCAAGACAAAGGCATCATCAGAAGCCATTGACAAAAGCATCATTGCTAAATCACTGTGCTTATAATAAGTTTTAGTCATACTATATATTTTTAATTTATTTTATATACCTTTCTAAAGTATGCTACAGTGGGTGAATAGATACGTCTTGTGTGTGGTGCCAGTGTTATTCTGTCTATTTTACAAGGTTATGTACGACATCTCAAAACCCCAGCTGCTGTCGCCCAAACCACAGCAGCGAAGGACTGGACCATCGAATATGCTAGCAAAAGGAATCGATACTACACTTGAAACGTTACGTGAAGTTCCTGAAAACTCCGTGGAAGAAGATGCTTACCAAGATCATCATATCACCACTGCAGCAATGACCACCAAGATGACGCAGCCTATCAAATTGAAAGCAAACCACTCATCTGAAAGTTCAACCATCCATGAGGTAATCGAGAGAGACGAGATTTAATTTTGCCCTTCAAAACGTGTTCTATTCCTATCATTATCGTGCCCACTATTTGCGTAACCATTATCCGATGGTTAATCACAAGTCTCGTGGCTCTCTCGCTGCCAGTGAGATTTGGGTGGCCATTTGCAAATAAGGTTTTTTTGTAATGCACACTTTTCTATTTCTGTAGGATTCAATGCCAGAGATGTTAGACTCACGACAACGTTGGGTAATTGCCATTCACGACGACCCAAATGGCCCAAACTGTCAATACGATGCTTTCAAGGGACTTATTAAGTACGCTATCATGGAAAACAGAACTGTGGTGGAGATGTGGTTCGTAAGTCACGGGTCGTCTGGTAAAGAATACGCGCGTCAAACAAAATTTCTCAATACTACCTTTGATGCTGATAAAATAAAAGAAGTGGTGCCAATTATTTCAGTGGAAGAGTTTCGCTTTAAATGTAATAGTACGGTTGATACAATTATAATGAATTATCCGAAGGAAACACCGAAATTGTCAAAAGATGACTTCATTAAACAATACAGGCTACGAACTTCTAGATTCTCATCTCGATATGGTATAACACTTCCTGGTATTGAGGCGATTCCACAAACTCCCGAAGCAGTGGAAGAACGTAACCAAACTGCTAGACACGTACGTTGTTTGGCGCTCTTTGAACCTGAGCGAATGACGAGAATACGCGCTCCGAGGGACGTCATCAGTCTTGTTGAGAGACACCTGGTAAGAACCCCTCAAATGAGACATCTAGCCGATCTGGTCTCCCACAGTATCTGCAATGGCGACCCTTACATTGCAATGCATTGGAGGAACAAGTCGGGGGAAACGTAAGTAACGTGCGTATTTCATGTCTGTGATCACCTGTCCATGAACATTAACAGTCAGTTTCGATCATCAAGACCTGGGGCAGTCATTGCATCGCGTTACTATTTTAGAAGCATCTAGAGTGGCGATTGTTGGAAAGAGATATCCGGAAGCCAAAATTAAATAACGAAACCTCTTGCTCCTGATCGAACTTTTTGCTATCATAAATTTTGATCAAATGTATTAGAATAAATCTTGTATCTCGGCTTTAATCATATAGTTATGTCGCGTAGTAGCCAATTTCTTTGTGATGTTACCTTTAAGTTAAAACAAGTTCGTGTAAATTTGATAAAAAAACTTTCTGTCTTGAAATGAGCGAATTCCAGATTATATTGTCTTGTATGAATTTGGACATAAACTATCTCGGTTTCCTTGTATGTCAGCCTGCCAGTATTACGAATATTGACCACCAATCGTTATAAAAATACGTGATATATGTAGTATCATATTAATATTTCGAAACGTCGTGCACATACATTTACGCTCGTCTCTCGTGTGAATATTGACATTTTAAAAATGTATTTTGGCGTGTAAAATGTACAAAACTATTCATAAAGATATGTTCCCCACATATTTGTTGTCCAATACCAATACCCGTCAACCAATTTTAGAAAGCGATATCGCAGTGTTCTCTCTCATCATAATAAAAAAAATGTCTCTCTGACGTAATCTAAAATGTTTTTTTTTATTAAAATACTATATTTTGATTAAAAATAGATTTCGGAATTATTGTATTTGGGCTCCAACTCACAAGATTAGTTTATATATTTAATGAAATAAATTTGTTGTCGGGTTGTCCGTGTACCATATGGCTACTGGATTTTCCGACACAACCTCTACAACAGAGTAATATATTTTAATGTACAAGTTTGAATTACGTGGAGTGGGACGTTATTGTTTCACCCTCGTACGATTACATTGATATCACACGAAATTCAGGACCTCTTCATGATTTTAATGCGAAATTGCTGATAAATTCATGATAAGACACATATGTCAAGGGCCATTTCCGTCATTATTGGTAACTAGTGATATGAGACAGAAATCTACTACACTAAACTAAATAACCTTGCAAAGTGATTACTGTCACTTGATTTGTGTAAACCATGACTTAGTAACCTAATATTATTATTGAGTCCTTCGCCTTTCGAAACACGATTTCTATTTAATGTCAGTTTGTTCATGATAATATATTCCTATGTGTTTGTGTTTCAATAATATGAACAACGTGGTATGCATCAACGTTTTTTTTTATATTTTGTAGTGCTAATTTACACAGCTGTCGACGAATTACTAATAGTTATGCATATCATAACAAAAAAACATTATCACTGGAATTGAATAATTGAAATACAAATTTTGGTGCACGCAGAGTGTGGTTCCATTTTGTCGATCTTCGGCCCTATGAGATAATAATGATACATAGTAGAGCTGTATTTTGTTATTTACTAATAACAATCATACAGTTTTACTTTTGCTACAAATAAGAGTAAACACTGGAAACAAACGAAATGCGAGTACAGTACACATCCTCGTCTTCAACACCATTTCACAAATAAGTAGCTCCGCTATGTCTCATTGCCACTAGATCGACGTGTCCCTACTTTAATTTGTAATAATACTTTTCTGCAATGAAGATGTCATATTCATTCACAGGCACTACCGAAATAGCTCGACAATCGAGAACGTAGCCAAAACAGCTGCTGTTCTTGCCGGTGATGTTAAAAAATTTATGGTAGCGAGAAACGTGTCGTGTCTGTATGTATCGTTTCCCCCATTTAGTAAGGTATGTATATATTTTATTTTATTCTGTCTATTACACTACTTCGCTTGACCAGTCTGCATATACACTAATGATAGATTGTTTGGGTAATAACGGCCATTTTAGTGTGTGAGACGTATTAAAAACCACATTGGTCAATCCGTGTCGTGTTCGACATATGACGTATACAACACGTGTACAAATGTCATTACAATATGTTTTGGGCTTGAGGACGTATACAAATTTCATTAGGCTATGTTTTGGTTTTGAGGATGCGATGTGCGCATGCGTTACCGAGCTTTCCAGATGAGGTGATAATAGATGATGTAGATGGCATATAGGATATAACATGTTGATAGATATTCAGATATGAATATGGCTGCTTATCAAAAATTGATTAATGTTTGTTATTTGTAAAATTTAAAGGCTTAGTAGCATTCTGATTTTGAGCGTACAAACTACACTTAAAACATCTGATACCAGAAAATGCGTTTCAGAAAAATAAAACATTAGAAAGCAAAAAGGTTCAGTGCCAAGAAATAAAAAGAGCTATTTTTTTTCATAACTGTACTCTTTGCGCAATAGTTGTCATCTACTCTTTCCAAACGTTTCTAGCATATATCTTATTGAATTATATCAGTATCTAAATCACTTATAGATTATGTATAGTACGAAGACATGTTTCATGTAAAGTTATAGTTGTTTGCAGCCATCATCAGTAGTTATGTGAACTACATAAACAAACTTCAAAAATTAACATTTTCCAAATCTCGACGGTATTCGTCTTCCCATTATACCGGCTGTGTTACTGAAACTGTAAATATATTGATTTTCCAGAAAATTTTCGATGGCAATAAACTTCGCAGAATGTGAACAAATTCATCGGCATACATGTAGTGAGAACACATGCCATCTATATTTACTGTGAACATATCGTCATATATTCAAGTTGCAACATGGGATAATTCATAACACTTCATCGATTATAGTGACAAATTCGTGACGTATTTAATTTCGAGCATATTCAGACCATCAAATATATCTCAATTATAGCTTTATGAATGACGTCAGAGTATAACACTAATGTATTATCATTTGTATCTTCAATTGTAAAGTATATGACGACGGTTTTAGAAGAAGTTAATATTCCTAATGTGGTCACAGTAGCCGACATAACTGACGCATCGTATCCAGTTAAAATTCCCGACGAAGTCCGATTCGACAACTATTACACCGCTCTCCTCGAACAAGAAATATGGATACGTAAGTTACTTAACTTTTCTGAATTACAATATAGCATAAATACTGCTTTATCATTGGACAAGTATGAATATACCATAGCATATAAACATACACTACCGTTTTACTTGTGGATGTTTGGTTATTACAGGGTCCGAAGTGTTTCTATATGGTTCGTCATCAATGTCCTTCATGGCACGAAACTACAGGAAATTGGCCAACAAGGAATCGATATACTTGATGCACTTTATCAGTTGGCTGCCGCCAGACGTATACGTGAAGCGAAAACGATAAAAGATATCATGAAAATAGAAAGAAATGCTACATCATTAGTTACGATATTAATATGTTGTACCTTTTAACGTTTTTTTTTTTTGAAAAATAAAATTTATATCTCAACATCAAACTATTATTCTCTTAATAAATATTTTTTTCAGTGAATGAACATGCTAATAATATTTGTTTGTCTGGCAGTGGACTTTAACACAAACTGGCATAATTATACTGAGAAACTTGTCTGTAGCCGCAGTTTGATTTCAGACTTCCCCCCCCCCCTGATTTCATCCGCTTTGTATGTCTTCAAACACGGAATATGTGGGTTTCAAATTTGTGAATTGATCACTCAATTTACCAAGTAAATGAGATGGTAATACATCCACTGAAATCAATGTCTGACAAAATTAAGGATGTTATGTTTTTTTTAGAAATTCTATACATATGTCACGTGTGACGGTAATACAATTATATTTGTTAAGTTATGGATTAGTTTATTGCTTGCGGTAATGTAAAATGACCGAGACGCCAGCTCCCGTCTCTATGTTGTATTACTGTCAAATATCACTTGAGTACATAACCCACACGGCCACTTAAATTATTCTCTTGGTTTTGCGATTTCATGTTACATTTGATACAAACAAAGACTAATAGCATTTGGTAATCACATCGACAGCAACTCGCAAAAGTAAATATTATGACATGGGTATTTGGAGATATATATTGTCACAAGCAACGATTGCATGTCAAATCAAGCGATACATTCGGTTCTATGTTATTCCACCCAAAATTGTCAAACATTTTTTTTAAATAAACAGTTATTTAAAGTTGATAAATCTGATAGAAGATCAACATTTTCATGGTGTGATTGCTAACATTCATTTTTGTCCTGTCGTAATTTGTTAACGCTCTGATTCTCTGTAGTAGTACCAGTGGAAAGAACGGTAGTGAAATTGACATATCAAAACTGGGACTCACGCGGCTGTAATCAAATGAGCAGATAATTGGGAAAGTAAAACGAACTTAAATTCATTAAGCATTATTTAATCTGTAGAAAAATATAACAAAAAAAACATATTCAAGCAGAATAATCGAATTACAGGCCTTTGTGATTATTTGGATCTCTATCATGTGTTTTGGATGTAAAGACAACATCGTTATCTTATGCACGAGTCATATGCACCCCATGACCCGGGAATGTAGGAGAATGTAGGTGTGCACTAAGCTGCCATACTACCCCTGCTCCCGGGAAATTGAAATACAAAAACCCAGATGTTACAGATGCTACAGTATTTGTGTAGGTTTTCTCGAGAACAAGCCTGGGCTATAAGTAAACGAACTTCAAGGTCAAATTCGAGCGATTCCAATTTCACTAACTGATGACGACACTTTCGAATATTCGTGAATCCTGGATGCACCATCTCAGTAAAAAAATAACGATTTACCAGTCGCTAGGCTATTTTTTTGCATATTTCTCTAAACTGTCATTGGTGGCGCTATATCACTAGATAGTTACCTCTTTCGAAAAGTTATTATGCGCTGTCCTGTGCTGTAGTAACATTTTCGAGAATTATAGTAAAACTTCAGGTGGCAAGATACAACGCTAGAAATAAGAACGAAATAACAATAGCGCAATTTACTACATAAACAATTTTACTTGTTACAATTAAATGCAACAAAAACAATTAATTAACATGAATCAAAGAATAAAATATAATCCATTGAAGTTTTCACATACTGTATTGCCCGTCACGCGAGATCTCGCAATGCATTGGAAATGATTTCTAATATATTATATTGCCAATACTAAGCTCATGTTGCGTAATTTCTCACGTATCCTTTGGTACGCTTTCTTCGCGCGAACATTCCTATTATGATAGTGACCAGCACACCCAGAACAAAAGTGCCGACACCGATCCAGATCCATACAACCGTAGATATAGAATCCGAATCAACCTGGCAACTTGATTCACAGATGTCGCCGAACTCGTCAAGTGGAATCGAGTTGATTGCTCTCTTGTTGTATTCTTCTGGGGTGCTACAATAATGTTCTAGGTTTGGGTTATGACATCCAGTCCAAGCACGGAACTCGATCATGTCACAGTCACAGTGGAGAGGGTTCTTGGTAACCACGAGGTAACTCAGGGAAGGTAAGACGTGGAACAGTTCTCCTGGAATTGTTTTGATCAAGTTGCCGTGAAAATCCATGTTTACTAATTCAGTCAGGTTGTAGTAAGATTCAGGATCAATTACTTCAATAATGTTATTGTACAGTTCGAGATTTGTAGCTTTTGAGCAACAACCACGAAAAGCATTTTTGCTAATTTGATCAATTTGGTTACTCCCAAAATGGGCGACATCAACTTCTTCAAGTCCGATTAGCATGTTCTCAGATATGGACATCAGCTTATTGAATGATAATGTCAGACCTCTCACTTTTTGCAGGTCATTGAAAGCTCCATGCTGAATAATACTTATTTCATTACGATTGAGTCTGAGTGATATTAATTTGTTCAATCCTTGGAATGAGTTTGCTGGTAATTCTTTCAATTGGTTATTATTGAGGTCTAGATCTTCCAGTTTTCCCAATCCTTTGAATGGCTCAGTCGTGTTTATTCGATTTGACGCCAGATCCAGTTTTATCAACTCCTGGCATGAGAGGAACGTGTTTTTGTCGATGATCTCTATTCTATTCTTACTTAGAATTAGACGTTGTAATGAAAATAGCCCTTCGAAGGAATCATCTGTCAGCTGTGTTAGTTCATTTAGCGTTAAGTCTAAAACAATCAATTTTTCCAATCCGTTGAATGCACTCGGTTCGATGGAACTGAACTTATTGGAATCTACATAAAGCTTTTGAAGATTCTTTAAATCAATGAAGGAGTTTCCATTTACACTTCCGGAAAGTTTGTTGTATGACAAACGTAACTCTTCTAGTTTAACCAAACCATCGAACATTTTGATGGTAAAGGTTGTTAACTGATTATAATCCAATCTAAGTTCTATCATTTCGTTGCAACTGTTGAATGTTTCATTTTCAATTGAACTAATGTTATTTTTGGAAAGCCTAAGGTAAGTAAGAGAATCTAACCCTTCAAACATCTCATAGTATAGCGAGGTAAGATCATTTTGTGATAAATCTAAATCTTCCAACTTTTCCAAATCTAGGAATGCATTTTGCTCCACTGTGTGAATCTTATTGTCATCTAATCGCAGTAAAGTCAAGTTAGCTAAACCAATAAACGAATCATTGGCTATAATCTCTATTAAATTTTCGTGTAAATCCAGTACTTCCGTGTCGATTGGAATATCAGTGGGGACTTCAGTGAGATTTGACTTTGAGCAGTCAACTGCAAATATAGTGGAATTACAGCGACACTCTGTTGGGCAGGTTGCTGATATGCTGATTGGTTTGTAGATCACAAGTAAGGCAGCAATGACCAACCAGTTTTTCATGTCCATGGTCGACTCGGTTCCTGCAAAATTATAAAGACAATATAGCCGCTTTATTCACAAATGCAATACATTTCCAATTTCACTTAGATGAATGTACTATGATTGAAACTGATTTGCAACTCTTTTAAATCCATATTCAGGCGTTATATGTTACGAGCATAATAGAATCAGATACAACTGGCAGTGTAATACCAGATACAGATATCAGCAAACTCGAGGAGAAATCGAGTTGATCGCTCTCGTGTTTTATTCTTCTGGAGGGGTATATTTTTCGTGTATTGGATTGTGACAAAGCTCACAGTCGCAATGGTGAGGATTGCCTGTACTACACAGAAGGCGACATCTGGAATAATTTTCTTAAAATCCGTCTGATCTAGTCAGCTTGTTGTATGATTTATGGGTCAGGTGATTTAATGTCTTTTCTTTCTTAAAGCCACACAGAAGCAAACAGCAATTTGTTTATTAATATCATTAATTACTATATCAGTATAAGGGGAGTTAAGAAATAAAGACAAAGTAACAACGAAAAATACTTCCCATCCCAAGAAAAATGTAATGCATTTCACTATATATATATATATACTATATGCGTCACTGTTACAAGACTGTTACAGCTTTGCTGATATAAACATACTGATCAGGTTAAAGCGTTCAGCACCTGATGTAATGGTTCAAGGTAAAATTACTATCAGCCCATCTAAAATTGTCGTTTCTTTCGGGAGGGAGGGGTTCTTTCATTGTTTTTCTGTTTCTCGGTTTAATGAAACTGACTATAACATGAGTTCCAGAGGATAACTAGATGAAAATAAACATAATAATAATATTAATTAATAATATAATAATATGTTGTTGCAATATGTCGGTGCCATGTACCACTCTTCTAGTAATATAACTACTGGACTTGTCATCATCTTCCATTTTACTGGTCTTGGGGTGGTGTGGGGTGTGGGCTTCTCGAGTAGAAATTCACCAACGGATGTGCAAGACATCCAAGGGGCTCCTTTTACCATAATTTTGAATTAGTATATATGTGCTGGTGTTATGTTTAGTTGACCATAAATTATGTATAACTACGTGACTTGGCCGGGTGGTCGTTTCACTCCGTTCCAGAGTTAGTATATATCTGAACACAAAAATTGAATAAAAACTTGTTTTTTAAGTCAAGAAAATAGGATCATCTATTTTTGGTAGTAGCCAACTACCCACGCACTAATTACTTAGTTACTTTACAGACTGTAATTTATCATACTACTTATCTAATTTATCATTACCTTACAACACTTCCTGTCTTGTTACCAGTTACCATGTGTTTACCTTAAAGAGCGGCAGTCGTCGTGCCGCGTTCTGTTCGATGTGGGACTCATAGCGACGTATACAACGCGTGTAAAATACATTGTTTATTTACCTGAAATTCGAACACGCGCTGCGCGAGGACCACCATATATGTAAGCCATGTTATAACTCATTTTCAAAAATACATATCGAAATGTGGTGAAATTAATTTGTTTCAGCTTAGAGAACCGACTATAACGGGTAATATTTGCGTTATTTCAAGTGGTTATATCAGTACTACCAGTAACACCTGGGCAAAGCGAGACGAATGCTCGGCGTATTCACCAATGGCCGTTGCAGTGTAGTGTAAATATTATGATTGTTGCCCCGACAAGCGCTGTGCGGTGTTTACAATAGTTGAACAACTTTTGCAGTTTCATTCTAAAATTGTCGTGATACTCCCGCCATGCGGTCTGAGGTTTGGTATACACTTACAGCTTTGGTTTATAAAAAAAAAAAAAAAAAAAACAGTGTGAATTTTTACACATTTATCTGAACTTGTTCATGCATACTCTATTTGCATCCACGCTCCCAAAGGTCGCATAGTATATTTTCACACTGAACGCGATCCAGACGTCGCGGGCGTTTTGAATGAGCACATTTGGACTACCGTTTTCAACATAACGGTCGCAAATTTGTTTACGCTGCACCTAGAAAACTCAAATTTATCGGAGGTGATCAGTGCCAGTCAGAACCAAAGTCAGAGCCAAAGTCCTCACTGACTGACTGCATTTACTAGAACGATATTCTCTCCCAAGAGGGTTCTCTTGAATTTCTACGATTGAATTTTGGTTTGCATTGATTCTGCATGAAATTACTTTGTTAGCTTCAGGTAATGATGGCGTCAATAGTCGTTACGATCGAGCACTAGTTTTTTATACAAATAGAAATATCACCAAGCGCTTATCTGGGAAACAATTATAATATTTTTACTTTACACTCACTGTAACCAACATTCATGGTGATTACGCCGTGTAGTTGTGTAGCTACACAGTCGTTTAGTAATAAAACTACAACCATCTTCAATATGATATAAGTGATTGGCATGTCTTCCTGGTATCTTGTTGTCTGTGCATACAATATTGTACATATACATATATAAACATATATCCAACCGTTGCTATCATGATGGTGCATATCAAATCATTCGAATCCATCCTTACCTGGATCTGACTTCTAGTAGTTTTGTAAAACAGACTGGTGTGTGTTCGACGTGTCGCCCTTCTGTTCACATGCAGGTTTTAAAATCAATTGGTTACGTATTAGTTCGAACGCTAGCACAGGTTATCACGGACATAAGTCACGTGACCTAGAGGTGTGTCAAAGGGCAAAAGTTCCCTCGTCAATACAAAATACCATTTTTTATTTCACAATCACCCAGAAATGTGTTTAGCAGGATAAATCTATATCTATCCAAGAAAATATTTATAAAGCATTTGTTGTTGTTTTTTTCTATTAATTCATAAAGTGGATTTACTTTACTTGCTTATTTTACTTATAAACTTATGTTAAAGCGGGGGAGACGTCACGCATGAGTCAGATGGCCGTTGTGTGTCATTGTTTACAAACTAGCTTCTACCCATGAGCCTTTGCGGTTTTAGCGTGTGTTGTTATCGTTGCTTGGGACTCAATTCGGATGACAGAATACAGTATGTGTAGTACGAATGTCATCACGAATACATAAACACGAATCTCGTATTCGGGATTCGAATTCAAGACCACGGCAAATCGCCTTGTTATATCAGGATTTTGCTGTCTTTGTTGATTACAGTTAAGAGGAGCCCAAATGGACAATTTGATACCGCTGCAAGCATAAACATGTAGACCACTGCTAAATCTTGCTCCAAATTAAACAAATCTTGTTATTGAATGTCCAAGCTATTATAATATCATTATGATCAGTAGAAAATATTGCGTTTCATAAATCCAAGGTTAATCTTGTCAATATAATTAAGTTCATGTTAGTTAATGAGGCACAATGTCTCTCTTTTCTCGTAATTCAAACATTTAGATCGAATGATTTAAACATTATATATATTGTATTATGGATTAATGTCGGATTTTATGGTGTCAATGTTAGTTTGGTTATAACGCATCCATTAACAAGGCAGTATTTAGTGTATTATGTCAACTGCATCGTTTATTCTGACTAACATGATACCGTATACCTTTCCAGTTCACATTTCTTTGGGGGAATATAATATCAAAATGACAATTACTAGTACTTGTTGACCAAATACGAGCAAGAAACACGTTTTCTCAAGATATGAGGATTAACAAATTGAACCGTAATATCGAACGCAAATAATCAAGTCAATTATTCAAGAATCTTAGTGTACCTGGCCTTCAGGGAGAAGGACATTGTGATTCTGGAGAAGATTGAACCTTACACACTTCTGTAGTTTACTCAAGATAGCCCAGGTGCACAAACTCCCATCAACAATATGCTTACGTCACATAGAGGAGAAAACAATGGCAAATAATGACAATAATAATAATAATAATAATAATAATAATAATAATCAGGATGAAACTAATACTGACATTATCTAAAATGAATTTTATTCATTAATGTTCAAAACACCCAATTATTTTGTCTAATATAATAAACTTCTGGCAGATAAATGAGAGATGATATGATTAACTAAACCTAATAATAATAATACAAACACACACATTAAAGTGGAAACACGGCGACCTTATATAATTACTCAATTATCATTTTATATTAACTCTAATGAGAGTAATGGATGGAATGGAATTTACTGCACATACTCACATGCTTCAATGTACACGTGACAACACGTTTTACTTAGACGTGACTTTGACTCAAATTGCATTTCATCATTAATTATATTATATGGATATGAGTTTTGTTTCTTGTATTTCATAGTTTATAGTTTGTTTATTATTGACAGGCAGAGATAGTTTTTAAATAATACTAGAAAAACATTAATACTAGATAAAAGACATAATACATATATCAAGCTGGCTATTCCACAATACGTGAGATAATAATAAACAGTTAAGGTAATACGTTTAGAATCGTTACAATTGTAACTTCATTTTAAAAAATTAAAGTTTCTACATAAGGAATTAATAATATATGTTAACATTTAAATAAAACATCGAATCTAAACTATTAAAGAAATATAATGTGGACAATATTACTTGTGCTTATATAGGCTCATGTTGAATAATTTCTTTCGTAACCTTTGGTGCGCCTTCTCCGTGCGAACAATCCTATCATGATAGTGACCAGTACACCAGCAACAAAAGTGCCGACACAGATCCAAATCCAGACTCCAGTAGATAACGAATCTGATTCAACCTGGCAACTTGATTCACAAATGTCGCCGAACTCGTATAGAGGAATCGAGTTGATTGCCGTCTTGTTGTATTCTTCTGGGGTGCTACAATAATGTTCTAGGTTTGGGTTGTGGCATTCCGTCCAAGCACGAAACGCAATCATATCACAATCACAGTGAAGGGGGTTCTCGGTAACCACAAGGTAATTCAGGGAAGGTAAGACGTGGAACAGTTCTCCTGGAATTGTTTTGATCTGGTTGCCGTGAAAATCCAAGTTCACTAATTTCGTCAGGTTGTTGTAAGATTCGGGATCAATTACTCCAATAATGTTATTGTACAGGTCAAGATTTGTAGTATTTGAACAGCATTCACGAAAGACATTTTTACCAATTCGATCAATCTGGTTATTCCCAAAATGAGCAGATTCGACATTTTTAAGTCCCGTGAGCGTGTTTTCATCAATGAACATCAGCTTATTGGAGGATAACGTCAGATGCTGAACATTTTGCAGATCGTTGAAAGCTCCCTCCTCAACAACACCAATTTGGTTCAATCTGAGTTGAAGAATTTTCAATTTGTTCAACCCCTTGAATGAATCTACTGATAATTCGTTTAATCTATTACTTGAAAGGTCCAGAATTTCCAGTTTTGCCAGTTCTTGGAAAGGTTCGGTCGTGTATATTCTATTCGACGCCATGTCCAGTTTTATCATCTCCTGGCATGGGACGAACGTGTTTCTGTTGATGGTTTCTATTCGATTCTTACTTAGAATTATATTTTGTATTGCAGATAGACCTTTAAAGGAATCGTCTGTCAGCTGTGTTAGTTCATTTAGCGTTAAGTCTAAATCAGTCAATTCTTCCAATCCGTTGAATGCACCCGGTTTGATGGTACTAAACTTATTGAAATCTAAATAAAGCTTTTGAAGACTCTTCAAATCAATGAAGGAGTTTCCATTTACACTTCCGGAAAGTTTGTTGTTTGATAACCGTAACTCTTCTAGTTTAACTAAACCATCGAACATTTTGTTGGTAAAGGTTGTTAACTGGTTGTTATCCAATCTAAGTTCTATCAGTTTGTTGCAACTGCTGAATGTTTCATTTTCAATTGAAGCAATGTTGTTCTTGGAAAGTATAAGGTTCATCAGCGAATCTAACCCTTCAAACATCTCATAGTTTAGCGAGGTAAGATCATTTTGTGATAAATCTAAATCTTCCAACTTTTCCAAATCTAGAAATGCACTTTGCTCCACTGTGTGAATCTTATTGTCATCTAATCGCAGTAAAGTCAGGTTAGCTAAACCAATAAACGAATCATTGGTTATAATCTCTATTAAATTCTCGTGTAAATCCAGTACTTCCGTGTCGATTGGAATATCACTGGGGACTTCAGTGAGATTTGACTTTGAGCAATCAACTGTAAATATAGTGGAATTACAGCGACACTCTGTTGGGCAGTCTGCTGATATGCCGATTGGTTTGTAGATCACAAGTAAGACAGCAATAACCAACCAGTTTTTCATGTCCATGGTCGAATCACTTCCTGCAAAAACCTGCAATATTAAGAATAGTAAGCAAATTAATTTTGTGAAACAATGTTTAGACACAATATGTCATTAAGTGTAATTACAGATAAGTCCATACCCTACTCACACGAGCGGGAACACATTTTATTTAGTTTTGTCTAACTTCCCAGGACGTTTTTCAGATTGTGTTGACATATTGGGTAATGACTATTCAACAACGTGCATTTGTCAAATACAAAGGAATCAAGGGGAAAGAAAGCTAGGCGAACAAATTCAGAAAACAATTGGTCTAAGTATTGCGCAATAAATTACAAAGCTTAATTCATAAAAAATATAACGACTATGTACAATAGCTCATAAACCATTCTGCATCTTTGTGAGCTCAAAATTGAATGTAAGATGCTATTGCCAAATATTTTGAAGTGCATGATCATGATCATTACAAATCACGCTTCACCATTGACTGCTTTTAGTTCAGGAGAAAATATTGCAAAATATCAATCATTATATTACTGACAAACTTGACCGAGCGTGAGTCTTAATTACTGACGTTAGCCTTGTTCTCAATACTTTAGAAAAATCATGCCAGCGAATTAGCCTCTTCAATTACCTTTTAATTTAAAAAATATCGTGCCAATTTTTATTTTCTACTCGTATGAATGATTTTTCATCGGTAATCAGTAATAACAATAAGATGGGTTTGTTCGCATATGATGCTAACATTTTGAAATTCAAACGAACCCAGGCGGATTCCGTTGTTTTACAAAAGGATTCGGTTGCCGCTATGGAGTGGAGTAAAAGATGTGGTGGAATTAAATTCAATGATTAGTAAAGCATTGTCACCTTTAACGGGAAATTATACTATAAATTATATGGAGCTATAACAAGAAAAGTCGTTTAGTAATTTAGGAAACAGAATATCCAATAATCTAGCATGGACTGACTATATTAGGATGAAAATTAAGAAAGTCAACTTCACACTTTGATTCATTCGTAGAACATTTGAAAACAACATTAATATGTCAACGAAAAAGTTATTATAAATTTGCCTTTTGAGATCAAGGTTCGGTGTGGGCCATCGGTCTAAATGTACTATGGAGTTATATATGAGAAAGAAAGAAATGTTGTTTTATAACTGTATCTACTGGTACAGTAGTATTTATACAGTAGTTATAGTGCTTTGGGAATGCTGTAATACATCATGTATTAACTGTATGACAGCTAAAGCAAACAGTCTGGATGTGTGTGCTGCCTTATGACTTTAGCAGCAATGTCTGCAGTCAGGGGTCAGCATAAAACAACAAGTAAGGGTGACAGGTGACTATAAAACAAACAAACACGCGTCTAGCCATGAGCCTTTGTGTGTTTTGCGTGCTTTGTTATCATCGCTTGGGACTCAATTCTCGCGCATGCACAGGTGACGACCCCTCTGCTTTAAACAATGATGTCACTGTAAACGCTATTGATTGTTTTGTTCGTCGTGTGTATAGATACACCTACCAATCAAGAGAACTTGGGAGTAATAGTAGTAGGTGTTATATTATACATTAAGGTGAACCTTCATCTCGTGCTTATCGTTAAAGTGGAAGCTAAAACTATGATGCTCCAAAATAAAATGGCTCCACAAATGCAGGATAGTGCAATTCACAGTTTGTTTATTATTATATCACTTTTCATTCACTAGATATTCAACATTTCATTAATTTATATTTCCATCATATTGATTCTCCAGCAAAGTATTATGGGTAAAGTATGACACCCTAGCCACTGACAATTATTTTATCTATAACTTCTAAAGTAGAACAAAGTAGCATACCGGTGCTAGTCGCACATATACAATAGTTGTCATGGCAACAGAACTAAATTTTTCCACGAAATGCATATTTCGTCGTATAATTTATACAATCCATCGATGAGAGTGGCTTATACAAATTATATGTTACCTGCTGATCGCAAAAGGGGGCAAACATAGACAACGTATACTATTTGAAAAGCTGAATATGTACAGAACGAAAAGTAATATACAAAGCTGAAAATTAAATTCCCGTGTATTTTCATCTGGGAGTATCATCTGTTTTCACTTGAACTCCCATTTCGGTGGAAATTCATGGGATTTTTAGTTTATGAACAAAATGGGTGTTTAGCGATACACAGTTTGAAGGGGTAACATATACATAACATTTGTAAACTGAACAAAATTGAAAGAGCGGCGTATACAAGGAATATTTATGTATTGTGTATTAAAATTAAGTCCATAAACAATATAAGCTGGTTCATGTTGGTTATTGTTTACCCACAGAAAATACAAGCATATAAATACCGACTTTAGATATAATAAACAGAAGAAAAACATTGGTTACTAAATTATAATCAGCTGGTAATTAAACAATAAAATCAGATACATATTATAAAATGAGACATATTTGGGGTGGGGTTGGGGGGGGGTCTTTTCTCAATTCATATGCTGCATAAATTCCATGAAATTACATTTTTCTGAAAAACTTCCTTAAACGCAATTCATCAGAAACCATGACTCATTGTATTTGTTAGCAATTATTAACAAGATTGTTCAAATAGATTTTGTTTTCTGTTTTCAACCTAGCTGTTTCAGATTAAATTAAATTAAGCACCATATTGATAATGTATCCTAATTGCCAAATAAATATTTTGTCAATCTTCGTTGTTTTTGGCGGTATTCGCCCACAGTACCAAGCACTGTGTTAATTATTAATCTAACTTTAACAAGAAATAAGACATGACGCAGTAAAGTATTTTTCTTTGCATATAAAGCATGTTTTCATTCTTTTTTTCTGATGATTGTTGATGCGCAGTATGTATTTTCTCCCTTCACACAAAGAGACGTCGGTTACTAATTATACGTTATAGTTTTAAATGCGATAAACGCAGTGTAAACCTTGAACATTGAGCTGAAAAAATACAGAGCCTAACCTACAGCCATTACTGTTATCTTTGTTGATTCGTTGCTTTCAAATACCGTCACCCGTCTGGCGAAATAATTGTGTGTTATATACCGATGCATTTTACTTTACCCTGTTAAACCTACCTTCGTCTCGATTGGACTTGAATATGATTGCGTAGTGCTTTCAACGTGTCGTCCTTCAGTTGACAGGCGGGTGTACTGATATGGCACAAGTGACGAAGTCCAACTTATAATGACCTATTAGTTCAAAATCGGTGCTATCTCCGGGTATTAGTCACGTGACCTTTATTTGAACAAGCGATACAGCGTGTTGTTCTCAAATATCTGGTTACTAGTCTTGATCAAAATTATCGACAAAATAGGCAAAATGTTATGCAAGTTCATTTGACGATTGGCAACGCCCTGCTGTGCAGGCGACATTGCGGCCAACTCCGTCGTGCAATTGCGTCAATTGGATTTGGCGGTAGAGAGACCTTGACATTTTTAGTTACTGGGTGTAAGTCAACGTATCTGTCACTATGGTGATATATTAGGTACAATATAAAATCAAAGAAATCTGAGGGAGAAGTTCCCTAAGCATTTGAGGTATATTAAAAAATTTATTCAAAATTTAAGATTTTCTATTCAAACAAGAAGTTTGGCAAATAATATTTGTCAGCTATTTGAGATGCACAACGTGAAAATGAATGAAATGTGATGACTATGCATAATATGCAAATTAGGCAATTAGTATGTTCTATTTTCAATTCAAAACTAATCAGGTTTGTTGTTCAATCTTATTGAAATGCAATAATTGTTTTTTTGTTTTGAGAAATAGGTAGAAAATTGGATAATTATTATGCAAATCGGGCAATTAAATTAAGAAAGCCAACTTCACACTTTGATTCATTCGTAGAACATCTGGAAACAACCTTTATATGTCAACGAAAAAATTATTATAGATTACTCTTGTAAGATCAAGGATTGGTTTGGTCCATTGGTCTAAATGTACTATGGAGTTATATATGAGAAAGAAAGCAAACAATGTTGTTTTATAACTCATCTTGAATTTTCAAGGTGAATGTTCCGGCGAAGCACTCCACTATCACCTTGAAGTATTTCATTAGGAATATGTGTATGTAACAATGCCCTCACAGTTTAGAATCAGTTTACCAACAGCCAATCATATTGCTTCTTTCATCAACGCGTTTGGCCAAGCTATCAACATTGTCGGGGCGGAGCTAAGTCACAAGACTATTAAAGACGCGCAACACTC